CGCCACATGGGGTTATATAAGTCACACTCTGTTATATACAAGCCATAGGGGGTTATATAAACCACAATCTGTTGTATACAAGTCATAGGGGGTTATATAAGTCACAGTATGTTATATACACGCCACAGGGGGTTATATAAGCCACACTCTGTTATATACAAGCCATAGGGGGTTACATAAACCACAATCTGTTGTATACAAGTCATAGGGGGTTATTATATAAGCCACAATCTGTTATATACAAGCCATACGGGGTTATAAAAGTCACACTCTATTATATACAAGTCATAGGGGGTTATATAAACCACAATCTGTTGTATACAATTCATAGGGGTTATATAAGCCACAAGCTGATATATACAAACCATAGGGGTTATATAAGTCACATTTTGTGATATATAGGCCATAGGGTCTATGTAAGTCACAATCTGTTATATACAAGCCATATGGGGTTATACAAGTCACGCTCGGTTATATACAAGCCAGCCGCAAGTGGTTATATAAGCAACGTTCAGTCGAGCCATTGGCCGCACCTGTAAGTCTGTCTCTTGTGAAAAATTTCCGTCAAGGATTTGGATTTTGTTCGGCATTTAACAATGAAAAACGAAGATAAAAATCTGATAATAGTCTGGGGCAGTGGCAGCACTGGTATTCTAACAAGCTAGGTAAGAGCCTTCTCTAGCTTGTTAACACATTAACACATCAAGAGGAATCTCAGCTATATAATGCCGGGAGGTTGTAAATTAATCAGAGAGGAGAAGACGGGAGAGAGGCTATAAAAAATCGGAGACTTCACCGCGCATTTAGTTTCCTGTTTTGTTGAAACGGTAAGAAAAGTGTTGGTGAGATGTGTTACTAATAAGGATTTATTGGTACATTTTTATAACTTATGAGTTTTTCTCTTTTGATCTATTATTAACGTCGTTTTAAATCGTAAAATATTTAGTGTCTTATAGAGGGTCTCTACTACAGGATTTTACATATAGATGGAGTTTTTGTGTTGTAGATTTTATTATAAAAGTTCACTATTACAGGAGTTTAGTGCTATACACAGGTTCTGTAATACAGGAGTTAGGCTATACACGGATTCTGTAATATGAGACTTGACTTTTGTAAAGAATCTTTTTTTTATATTTTAGGAGATGACTGCTATATACAGGTTCTGTAATAAAGGAGTTTTCTGTTGTATAAAATGTCTATATATAAAATGAGTTGACCGCTATATACAGGTTCTGTAATAAAGTTTTCTGCTGTATAGAATTTCTAAATGAGTTAGTTGCTATATACAGGTTCTGTAATAAAGGAGTTTTCTATTGTATAGAATTTCTGTATATAAAAGGACTTGACCGTTATATACAGGTTCTGTAATAAAGGAGTTTTCTGCTGTATATAATTTCTATATATAAAAGGAGTTGGCTGCTAAACAAGGTTCTGTAATAAAGGAGTTGAGGTCTTTATACAGGTTCTGTAATACAGGCCGGTTATAAGAAAAAAAATCAGTATAAAAAAATAATTCTCTTTGATCTAACACTGAACATTATGTAAGATCAAATAAACACATTGGATTTGACTGTTAGTCGTCAAAGATGCAAGTAATGTTCCGCTCGTATTTTTTTACGTCTGTTTTAACCGTTAGTCTCGCTAACTGGCTATCGGTGAAAATATCATGTACATTTTTGTCGAGTTTTTTGTTTGCACGTGAAGTTTTACGTTGTACGTAACAGTACAAGATCATATAATTATCATACTGTACATTCTGTATAACCTTTGTGGTTTTTGCGTCCATCTTTTGTTGATTTTAGTCAATGAAATGGACCGATCGGTAAGCGACCTTCGTGTTGTGGCGTGACCACCTAACTTGTACAGGTAACTGACCTTGTATCCGGTTTGAAGGTTCTTTACATATTCATTTAGCCTTTAATATGCTGGGCATGTCGATGAACTCTTGAATATGTAGGTTTCCAGTTCATGTGTGCCTTCACCGTCATAATATATGCTTTTCATTGAGGCGTTTCATTTGGACACGGAAAATCGTTTACATTACAGTACACTGGTTATACCAGGCTCAACGTCAGAAACAGGCTTATCTGAGAGATCGGAATTACAAGACTGTTTATATATAGAATTAAAATATTCCATAAACAGGAACCAGTTACATATGTGTGTAGACTGGGTATTCTGCGGTAACTGACCCCAAAATGCCCTATCCACTTCTATAACAGTTTCGTTGAATATGACGTCATTCATAACCATGGGAACCGCATCAGCAACAGGTTTCTTGTGCTATGTGGCAATGAACTTCGAGTAAATAGACCAGCGTCGGCGGTCAGTTCGGCTGGTCATCGTACTTTGCTTGACCACACGCAACAAAATCGATGAGCCGTTCTACATATGGTGTCTAAAGTTTACTCATCACGTTGGGGTATATCCTTGTACTAATGTCACGTGACATCGTATTTCAACAACGGTTGAACGACCTATAAAATAGTGGTCAAGTATAGAAAAGACCTGTATTTTTTTCTAATGCGGGAACGGTGGACACTATTGGTTAGCACGGTATGGACTAACTAGGTAAGAATGTGTTTTTTTTTTAATTTCAATTATACATTAGTCAATTTTAGAAAATAACAAAACGAAAGGTGCAATGTTCTCTCACCTTTTAAGTTAAAGTGGGGAAATAAATGATTTTCTCATACGATCTTGCTCCTCGTACCCGTCACTGGGTATAGATAGTCTCGTGAGGTGATGGCTATCTAAATTGAAGGTTAACCTGTGAATGATAGATCTGGTAATGTTTTCAAGAGGGGAGGCCAACTGTATCAGTCTAACGACCTTTCATCTTGATACGAAGGTCATGGCGACCTAAATTATTTAGTACATTTCAATGTTTCATCGAAATTCATGGTCCTTGATACCTTTCGGTAAAAAAACTTAATTGAGCTTTGACCTAATGGTGAATGTCACTGTTAACTTATTAAAGATTGTGTACTACACACGTCTTGTGATGAATATATATTTTAATTTCACTTATGATCTGCGTCACGGAAGACATGTACGTGACACGTATGTATATGTCATCCCATTCTTGTTAAAAGAAAATCACGTACAGACTCATTCAGGCGAGACAAACATGATCAAAATCATTATAAGTAGAAGCTGTAGGGTCCATTTCAGTTCCTCTCTCCTTCTCTTTATATAAATCCCAGTTTTCGAACCACGCCTATTAAAACGTAAGATGACGTAATATCATGGCAGATTTTTTAAAGTAAATATAGAACCTTTAATTCAAGGCTTCCTATCGAATTGAATGATAAAAAAAATGTCCGTCACGAGGGGAGGTTATGCCCCCCCACCCCCACCCCCAGTGTCATATCGGAAATGAACACCACTATTTGTATAATTGAGGTAATGAATCTGTTTAAGCTTTGCGACAAAAATTGTATACCAAGTTATGTTAGCCCTAATTATATCAAAATGAAAGTAATGTTCAAAATATAGCATAATGTTTTGTTAAGTAAAGTAAGTCACTGTATTCAAAGGTATCCAACTTATAAAAGAAATATGTAAATTAGGTTGATTTGTGTGTTGTCTTGTGTATCGCTTGCTCTTTCCTGTTTTTTTCCGTCTTGTTACACACGTATGGCGCGCATGACATGAACACCTGTTTTTATTTTTCTGGTCATTTTCATCCTATATTTCTCTTTATCATTGTATTCTGATTTCAGTCTATTTTTGTGGTTCAATTTTCATTGCACTGTATAATACTGCAATCAGGATACGGAAGTATTGAAAACCATAGGTCATAAATGGCACACAAATGAAACAGCTATAGAATACAAATGTGATCTCTAGAATACAAATGTGGGTTAGAGAATACAAATTTGAGTTATAGAATACAAGTGTGGGTTACAGAATACAAATTTGAGTTACAGAATACAAGTGTGGGTTAGAGAATACAAATTTGAGTTATAGTATACAAGTGTGGGTTACAGAATACAAATTTGAGTTACAGAATACAAGTGTGGGTTACAGAATACAAATTTGAGTTATAGTATACAAGTGTGGGTTACAGAATACAAATTTGAGTTATAGTATACAAGTGTGGGTTAGAGAATACAAATTTGAGTTACAGAATACAAGTGTGGGTTAGAGAATACAAATTTGAGTTATAGTATACAAGTGTGGGTTAGAGAATACAAATTTGAGTATACAAGTGTGGGTTACAGAATACAAGTGTGGGTTAGAGAAAACAAATGTGAGTTGTATAATACAAGTGAGTTATATAATACAAATGAGTTATATAATACAAATGGAAAAGATTTATCATACATACCGTGAAAGCACCATTAGAATCTTATGACAAATTATTTTTCTTAAATACAGATGTAAAATATAGCATATATAAAGCCTTAAAAAATAATCTAACACAAATCTAAACACGAATAGAATATGAATGCTAAAAATCTTATTTTTGGATTTTTGTGTTTATAACATTTTCCATATATTTATATTCTATGATTGTACATAATCTTATTAGTATCTCTATTTAATGCAAATGTTCAATTACGGATTACCAATTTATGGATAGTATTAGAAATGAAATCATTCAAATTTTTTCTTTAATAATTTGGCAGAAACGATCTTGTCATTTACTGCATATCAATGTGACCTAATAAAACGTGTGGTAAACCTTTATGTTGACCAGGACAGATCTCCACCTAGACAGTCACGTTTTTAATGATCAGTGAAAGTCCCTGTGATCCTGCATGTGTACATATCCTTGTAACGTTATCGACAGGCCTACATATAGCTAGTTACTATTAATATCTTATAACAGTGTTGCTTCGGTATAACAGATTTTAAAACATCCTTGCCTTATAAATTCGTAAGTTGTAAGTTCTACGTCTAGCGAACGAACGATCACTGAACCCAGCCCAATAATGTAATCAGCTATGCGTGTCACCTCACTTCAACCTTGAACCCTGGCCTAGTTTACCTCATATCTAGTAGACGATTGAGAATTTTTCCGAACTTGTCGTGCTTGCTGGAAGCTGTGATACTCCTACGCTTGATTATAACTCTAAAACGACATACACATTACACAAGGAAACAATTACTTACTCATGATTAACAGGATATATTTGAAACCAAAGATTCACGTGGAAGTGCTTTCCGCGGCGTGATTCGTCTAGTGGGAATGAGGTAAAGTAGGCCAGATATTTGAAGCCATAAATTGATCGCAGCAAAATTCATGCTAACATCCATCTTGGGCCATAACAACTGGTTTTAAAACCAGTATGGACCATTCAGAGATGGGTAAGTACCTATTTATGTTTATGTATTTCATATGAATCCAGAAACTGTTGTTATTTCTGAAACTTTCAATGTCCAAATGGTGGTGTGTATTGTGGTGTAAATAGACTCCGCCATTTTGAGTCACGAAGGTTGTAAGCACTCGGCAGTACCATGGGTTCACCCCGAACAAGTTACATGTACTTATACGAGGAGATTTTGTACGATAGCTTAATTGATGGCTGCCGCTATGATGTTTACAAACAAACGACTGTGATCATTATTGAAAGGCGAACAAGATTTATTGCGAAATATATTTTGCCCTTAATTTGAACTTTTGAACTCCCAACCACACAAATATCTTACGTAATGTGAATCGTCTGGTGGAGCACACCGATAGATTTGAGACGCATTTGATTCTCAACTAAACAACGTGACTTTCGTATGGATTGAGAGCATCATGAAGCATTTGGGCATGTGATGTTTGAATTTGATCAATGTTTACAGCATCTATAGATAGGAAGATTTCGGGTAGGCCCAAGTACTAAGCTAGAAGGTCATCGACATTTCCCCGATATTTATGCATAGTCATTACTTTTAGGACCCACGGTCTAATATTTGACCTCTAACCTTTTATGTGCCATGTAAGAAATACCTGTGACGAAATAAGAGAAATATGATTACTTTTGACACTACACAGATTAAGATATTGAACTGATAACTTCATAATTTTCATTTCATTAAACGTTTTACATTGATATATACAAAAAAGATTAAATACAACAGACATTTATAATTATACATAATAATTATGAACATTTATTTGTATTGATCAGCAAGAACAGTCAACAAGATGGATCATATCATCATTGGATGTAGTGTAATCATGAGTTTCTCACTTTCCTCCTAAAGACATTTTAACTTAATGTCATCATGTCAGTGCTAACAATATTACTGAAAATTTGTCTATCAATAATGTTTATAAAGCAACATCTCCAGCTTTTGGGACATTCAGTTACTACTTGTATAAATGAAACATCATTACTTTGGGATTTGTACAGTATCACATATCATTACTATAGGTGATATCATTAATCCTACGTTATAATACAAATTGAATTACTTTGAAATTAGTGTACATTTGTGATGTTCCAATTAATTGACTTTGTCAAGTATTGGTTGGTTTTGTAAATTAACTAATGAATTGACTGCAATCTTTCATCTTTCCTCCATAGAATAAAAACTGACGTTCACGTCTCTCTAACTTTAGTAGAAAAAAGTTTTGAATCTCGATCCTGTCAACTAAAAATTATGAAGTGATCAAGGGTCTGGTTGAGCGAGACAAGTCAACTGTTAAAGTGTTAGAAAATACTATTTATCAGACAATTTTGATAAAAATAGCAAAGTCCATTTTTCAAGACTTTCCATACAAGGAAGCGCAGACAGAGTACGTAAAACTCTGACTTTTAACTTCATCGTTGCATATATTATGCTATGTGTGTAGAAAGAGGTCCAAGTCACTTTCATCGTTTTGACATGCTTGTGTATGCTGTTTTCACTTTCAGTCTATACAGTTATTGACTTATGCAGAGGTATATTAGTGGAATGACTGTGTATTCCAATAAAAAAAGGATTTTTCCCTGGTAACCTGAAATTGTATGAAGATAGAGTTCAGGGACTCATATATGATATAAAGTAAAATTGTATCAATTTTGAGGGTCAATTTAATAGGTCAAAATTTAGGTTTTTAGTGGGAAAACCCTTTAAGGGGATGGTAAAAAATGAAAAAAATATACTGTCTTTAACAAGGTTTTATTAATGATCAGTAAACCGTACACCATGAAAATATAAAGGAATTTATATATGAGGTAGAATTTGGTGTCATAAAATATTTGTTACATCCAGGACAATTTTGGAAAATTTTAAACAAATTGAAACACCATGATGTAGTAGATTTCGCATCACAAAATGATGTTGCATCCTGACTAATAAAGGACAGGATGGTTCTGCTTTGAATGACAGAGGAAGTACAGCTGTTTATGTCGAGTTCCTGGATGTAACAGGACACCAAAGGCTGTTCATTTGGGAATAGATTTCCTTCTCAAGTACATTTTATTGTCAGATTCATGAAAAATTACTACCTAGTTAGATAATGTATTGCCATGAGTATTTGTAACTTCATTTATAACCCATCAAATAAGTTTTATTTACAAAAATATACATCTAGAACTGATCTGTGATATGTGCCTATAACATAGTGCTTTAAAACATATATCAACATACTCATAATAATCACTTTTAGTCTCAGTGGCTGGGACAGAACATTATGCCACAATTTACACAAGCTCCAAATGATTTAATTTCATTATAAGATTGTCAGAGGTTTTTCACTACATTCACTATTATCGGGACACCATATATCACATTTGTGTCATAATTTGGATGTGCATGTTGTAAATGTAATTAATGTACATTTCTGAAAAGCAAATACATTTTTATCTGTCTTTTCAATTTTTATCCATTCACCTTGTTTTATAACATTAAACAAAACAGATAAACTAACATTTATATTTGCTTATGAAAACACCTCTTGACATGGACATCAAAAAATGGGCTGGTGTCCATTCCAAATGAGACTTAAGATAGAAATTGTGATGCATTACAAAATGTTTTTGGTAGTTATGACCTTGTTTAAGGGACTTTTCAATAGATACAATTTATGTTTCATATAGCACACAAAATTGGAGATTGGAGAAGTCCTGTTGTGTTGCTCCAAATCAATGATTATCTTGAGAACATCTTAACAGATTTTGTTCATATTTTCCTTGTAGTATCATGATATCAAGTTCTAGCTATCACTATGCATTACAGACAGTTTCTACTCTAAATCATGTAAATCAAATGTGTCATATTCTGATCGTCTATATATAAATATAGTCTAAGATGTGTCCTGGGAATATTTTCAATGATGAACACAAACATCAACCTGGGCAATTCAAATGAGTTCAGGTTGTGACCAAATGATTTTAATAGTGACTAATTAAAGAGTTGAAATATTGGTTAAGTCGAGATATCTGTAACAATCAGCCCGTGTTGGTTTTGTATCAACAGAACAGTGACTGTGGAAAAATACTTTCATTTCATTAGTACCAGCCTTTAGGAATTAATGCTGTTGTGGAAATGCTAACTACAGCAGCTGGTTGTAATTAAGATTGATGAAAACATTTTGATGCAGATTTCCATTGTCTTTATAGCAGAGATGATCCATGTTTAGTTTAGCTGTGATCTCCACATTCTCTTGATTTTAATTGCTATGGATTTCCTTCAAAGCCTTCCCTGTGTTTACTGCATTTGCCATTGATTTGCAGACAAAATGTGCGTGCGTACTAGTAGTGTTTCATAAATAATGTTTACACTCTCTGATGTATACAAGAAAATTGGGATTGAGTTGATTTTATGATAGAATTAGAAATGATGAAAGATGTAGACTGATGTTTAAATATTTTGAGTTGTCAGCATTTGTCTGCAGTCTGTTTAAATTAGTATCATTCTGTAGACTTTCATTTGAAATATTTGAATTGGTGTACAAAATTTCTGCCATTGGTATTTCATCTTTGTTACCTGAATCTAGCTTATTACTGTTAAGATATAAAAACCTTGATCTCCCGTTACCCTACGAACTTAATTAGTCCAACAAAGGGAACCTGAGGAAACAATATTTTTGCATTGTGTCCTTTTATTCTGCCACAATCCACAGGAGTAATCATGGAAACTTGGTATACAAGTTCATCGTTGTGTGACTATGTCATGGATCAAAAGTAGGTCACTCTGACCTACATTTTGACCTTTGACCTACATCAATTGACAGTTTGTGCTTTGGCTTCTATCTACACAACTGGTCACAAAAATGTTCTACTCAGGATATTGCTTTACCTTGGCAAGACAGTGAGTTGTGTATCAAAAGGTCCCTCTATTTGACCTTGCACCTACTTCATGTAAAAGGTTTGTCCATTTGTTTTGATGTGCTGGTACATAGGGGACTGGAATTTAGCATTGCCTTGTTTTTTGTGTCTTCCCTGAACATTTGGACATTTTCAAGGAAGCAATGTTGATTCCTGATCACCCTTCTACATACCTTTGTCAAACTTTTGTGATCTCTGGCAGACTGCTGTCTTGTTCTTGTAATGTCATTGAAACTACAATCATGTTTGAATGATCAGTATAAACACTATAGTAACTAAAATTTAATTTCATATCAAAGTATTTAAGTTAATTAATTGTTGTTCATGCCATTGCCTTTTAGACTTGTCATTATTTTTGTTACACAAAAGTGAATTATTTGTTTTCTGTTTCAGATTCCCTTGACAGTAGTGTCAGCAGTGCTTCTGGTTGTATATCATCAGGAACCGGGGGTATGATGTCGTCAAATTTATCAATGAATTCCATGTCGGTGAATTCACCACCGGACATAAAACCTGACCTGTCCCAGTTAAACATGGCATCCCCACCCGGGTCCTACTTCAGTTATAGCTCGGGCATGCAGTCCATGTCATCATCATCACAACCTTCCCCACCATTGATGCATTCGCCAGGAATGCACTCGCCCTCATCGTCTGTTACCTCCCCTTCCATGATGTCATTGGGATCCCCTGGGTCAGTGTCTTCACCGCCCAATCCACACATGCCACACACAACGCTCAGCAGCAAACACATCTGTGCAATATGTGGAGATCGGGCGTCAGGAAAACACTATGGTGTTTATAGGTGAGTTTATCATAACTGAATATCCCACAATACTACATGAATAATAATTTGTAATAGGTGTCCTATTAAGTTATATACTCAACTTGAATGTTGACATTCATAACACGCATGAAATGTATGTTGATGTGATTTAGATAAAATGCAATGATGTTATTTACTTGAGTTTTGTGTTCTACTTCAAAGTTTAAGTTCGAGTAGTTTAACCTTGTTTACATATCAAATTGAAGAATCTTCCTCAGATATTTTCAGTTCAATGCAGGGACTGCAATCCAATATGGCTGACATTCAAATGTTTGCTTCAAACGAAAAGCTTTGTAACATTCAGTCACCAACATTTCTTGTTATTGTTTGAGAGTTTACATGAAATTATTCAGGTATACGGGTATACACACATTTATACTAGCTTCTTTTTAGTATGTCACATATATAATGCACGCCCCATGCTCAGTTACATTACTGATGCGCATGCATGAACATAACCAAATTTAGATGGGTAAGATGACTTACAGGATCATGGTGACCTATTATGATCACCTTCATCCAGCATTGTTCGTCCATTAACAATTAACATTTTCAACTTCTTCTCAAAGACTCCTGAACCGATTTCAGTGAAAGTTTGCAGAAACCTTCCCTGGCCAAACATGAAACAAAATAATGAATTATTGTCCCCACACCATGGGGGCCTGAGGGGCGTGGCCAAAAGAGTCAGATTGACTTACATTTTCAAAAAATCTTCTTCTCAACACTCAGGTATGATAGAATCAAATGCTCTTCTAGGATGGAAGCATCTTGAATTACTTTAATTACCAAAATGGCTCTCACACTTCTTCCTGGAGAGGGGGTTAACTTTACTATAATACTTATAGAAAAATTGTATTTTTGAGCATAACCTTGTTTATTTCCCAGTGGAAATAATTTTTGTAAGATATTTTAGTATAGGATGACAGTTTTGATGGTATGCATATATTGACACTAGCCTGCTATCATCAATGTCATATTTTGTTTTCATGACACTTGAAAGCCACTTTACCTTTAATCATTATTTTCAATATTGCTTATCTCATGTGACCGTAAAGGTCACTAGGCCTCTTGTTTTTAATAACATGGTTTGCATGTATTGTAATGGTTTTGTTTTTCTCTCATAAGTTTTATTTTATACGTGGTATGAAAGTTCATTTGTGAACATAGTGGTACCAGAGGTTGGATACCAGGTAGTCTGTCTATAACATGTATTAAAAACTAAAATGATCCTGACCAAGTGTAGTTACTCTTTGAGTCAGTCTGAAACCCAATATGGCCACCATGGCCATCTTGATCAACACATTTTAAAACTTCTTCTTGATTTCACTTGTGCCATGAAGTTAAACTTCAGTTAAACTGAAATGAGGAGTATTTTTGTGCCTCAATTGGTAAATATTCTGACTACTATCACTGCTGCAGTTATATCCTATAAATGTCCATAGGCTTCTTGTTTGATAGTCCACAAGTCAAATGCTGCAAAAAGTGCTCCTTTTTTCCTCTATCCAGTAAATCATTGACCATCCTGTAAACAGTTTAACCACATTTGGAGCAATACAGCAGACCCTATTATCACTTGCTTCACACCAGATCTCAATGAACAATTAATTTTCATTTGAAAATCTTATCATATATTGTTTATCGGTTTTTATTAGTTTTATATATAACACATTTCACAATAGATCGCAATGTAGGACAAAAGCCAAGTTGCAGATAGTCTTCCATGTTCTCACAGCAGCTTCATATTGATCATTTTAAATCCAGATTAAAAATACTGATTTCTACTGTGATCGTTTACAAAGTTCTTTTCCGAAGCAATTGATTTAAAGTAAGTTTAAAAAAATTGTAGAATGTACGAAAACACTCGGAATGAAAAATTGAAAAAAAAAATGAAAAATTGAAAATTGTACTGACAGTTAATGTGTCGAATTTCAGTTCTGCATTCAAAACTTTTTTCAAAATACATTGATAAGTCTTAGGGTCATGATATTCGACCAAAAGCAATGTTGTATTGAAGGATTATCAAGTTCTTATGCAGTATTTCAGCAAAATCTGAAGCTACCTCCATGTCCTCAGTTGATCATTAGTCACAAATTGGACACCTGACATGTAACTGGACTATATTTCTTGTTGCAGTTGTGAAGGATGTAAAGGTTTCTTCAAAAGAACAGTACGGAAGGATCTTACATACGCTTGCAGAGACGATCGGAATTGTGTAATAGATAAACGTCAAAGAAACAGATGCCAGTACTGCCGATATATGAAATGTTTGGCAATGGGCATGAAACGAGAAGGTATTTTAAGTGTTTCATATTGTGTTATATATTACTCGCTGCTTTACTTTGTTATTGATAAGCTCAGGTGTTTTGTTTTCTTGCTTGCTATTTTGTTGCACAAATTATATTTTCATTAATGTTTAATCTTGCAAAACATACTGTGTTCTAAGAGGTGGTGTTGAAGTGCAGTGTTGCCTGACCGTTCTGTTTTGTTTTAGTGTTTTGTTTTTTGTTTAAGTAATGATAGATCTCCCTTTCAAAAGGCCTATTTTGGTGTTTGTAGATACCTATGAGACACTTGGCATGTTAATAGCTAAATTTGATGAAGTACATAACAGACATTAATCTGGATCGTTTTTTTTTTATTAAATCAGGAAGGATAAACATCAGACATCTAAATACATATTCTCAGACTTTATATATCAATGACAGTACTTTTTCTAGGCGTCAGACTTTATATGTCAATGACAGTACTTTTTCCAGGCATCGGACTTTATATATCAATGACAGTACTTTTTCCAGGCATCGGACTTTATATATCAATGACAGTACTTTTTCCAGGCATCACACTTTATATATCAATGACAGTACTTTTTCCAGGCATCGGACTTTATATGTCAATGACAGTACTTTTTCCAGGCATCGGACTTTATATATCAATGACAGTACTTTTTCCAGGCATCGGACTTTATATGTCAATGACAGTACTTTTTCCAGGCATCACACTTTATATATCAATGACAGTACTTTTTCCAGGCATCGGACTTTATATGTCAATGACAGTACTTTTTCCAGGCATCGGACATTATATATCAATGACAGTACTTTTTCCAGGCATCGGACTTTATATGTCAATGACAGTACTTTTTCCAGGCATCACACTTTATATATCAATGACAGTACTTTTTCCAGGCATCGGACTTTATATGTCAATGACAGTACTTTTTCCAGGCATCACACTTTATATGTCAATGACAGTACTTTTTCCAGGCATCGGACTTTATATGTCAATGACAGTACTTTTTCCAGGCATCGGACTTTATATGTCAATGACAGCACTTTTTCCAGGCATCGGACTTTATATGTCAATGACAGTACTTTTTCCAGGCATCGGACTTTATATATCAATGACAGTACTTTTTCCAGGCATCGGACTTTATATGTCAATGACAGTACTTTTTCCAGGCATCGGACTTTATATATCAATGACAGTACTTTTTCCAGGCATCGGACTTTATATATCAATGACAGTACTTTTTCCAGGCATCGGACTTTATATATCAATGACAGTACTTTTTCCAGGCATCACACTTTATATATCAATGACTGTACTTTTTCAAGGCATCAGACTTTATATGTCAATGACAGTACTTTTTCCAGGCATCGGACTTTATATATCAAAAGACAGTACTTTTTCCAGGCATCGGACTTTATATATCAATGACAGTACTTTTTCCAGGCATCGGACTTTATATATCAATGACAGTACTTTTTCAAGGCATCAGACTTTATATATCAATGACAGTACTTTTTCAAGTCATCAGACTTTATATATCAATGACAGTACTTTTTCAAGTCATCAGACTTTATATGTCAATGACAGTACTTTTTCCAGGCATCAGACTTTATATGTCAATGACAGTACTTTTTCCAGGCATCAGACTGGGTATGTTAATGAGCATGTTATTTCCAGTCATTGGACTTTGTTTATGAACAAACATACTATTTCTAGGCATCAGACTGTATGGCCGTGCTATTATTAGGCACCAGACTGTATGGCCATGCTATTTCCAGACATCAGACTGTGTATGGCCATGCTATTTCCAGACATCAGACTGTGTATGGCCATGCTATTTCCAGACATCAGACTGTGTATGGCCATGCTATTTCCAGACAATGGCAATGCTATTTCCAGATATCAGACTGTGTATGGCCATGCTATTTCCAGACATCAGACTGTGTATGGCCATGCTATTTCCAGACATCAGACTGTGTATGGCCATGCTATTTCCAGACATCAGACTGTATGGCCATGTTATTTCCAGACATCAGACTGTGTATGTTTATGACCAAAATATTTCCATGCTGTTGTGCATACAAATCTGTTTTTAGTATTCAACAGTTCCGATTCCCTTCAAATTTCTTTGCTCATTTTAAGATATTAAAGAAGCTAGAATGTGCGGAAATGGCATCATATTTCAAGTATGTAATTAGAGGTAAAGTAAAGGGGACTTAAAGTTGGCAGCTCGGAAGCATTGTGGGCACACCATGAATATAGAAATGCTGGTACGCTACTTAATTGAAAATGACTTATTATTCTCAAGTCTGCTGTGAGATTGCTTCCTGTGTTGAGGCAATCTGCATGTTCCGTAATACCAGTACATGGCAATAGCAATTATGTAAGTGCTTCCTGATTTGATTAGGGTCCATACAAAATGGGATAAACACTTGGACCATTTGTACTTGTTAAACATATAGTGTATTTATTCCATGTGACTGAGATAAGTCACATACATCGTATAACTTTTCCATGATAGACAATTATCTTCATTCTTTGATTTAGAGTAAGAAATGCAGAAAACACTAGATACATAGCTGTAAATGTATCCAAATGCAGATTTGGTTATGGAATATTTAAAGTTCCACTTGGGTAAAGAGAAAAGGAAAGAAAAAATAAAGGGGACATATGTATGGTCAGCCATATATAATGTGTTGTCTGATGCAGGGAGGCATTAGTTTGTCTTTTGAGTTACTTTAGGTCTTGCTGTCTGGATTAATCCAGGATAAATGTTTTTTAATTAGAAAGAAATTATCAATTTGGCAATGATAAATAAGTTAAGACAATGTTGACAATATAATGATATGATTGTAATCAAAAAGTAAATTTATTCAGAATTAACCATGATTGTTTAGATATAGGTGTACGTTGCAAATTTATTATGAAACTGACGTCAGAAATGGCTTGCAGTTACTTGAAAAATAACTCTTGTTTTTTAATGTTTACATGTAATGTCAGGTTTATGTTATAAATACACTAGATATGGTTGGTCACACATACCTTACATAAAGATTCTAACACCCATCTGTCAGAATAGAAAGCACAATTGATTTACCAGAGCTTCCTCTGTCAAAGCATATGATGTATTCTGTTATTGGAACTATTGATTTATTTGGGTTGTAGAGGTAGGTGTCTGAACTTTCTTGTTAGACTGTACAGCCACTAGACTGGTACTGTTGACTTAGTAAAGTAGGAGTTGAAGGACAAGATGGATGACTTTTCTTCTGCAATATATATTATGTAAATATTTAATAAACATGTCCTGTGGGATAAACCTACAGGTACATCTGGTAAAGGAAATACAAGATACTGTATATAGTGTTAAGTTCCACTTGTTGTCAAGTAGCTGCCTTATCAAGGACAAAGAAACTGCTAGTCTGGTACAAAACAAAGCCGACAGATATTCCAGGATGTTCCATATCATTATTTATTCATAGTTTAAAAATATCTCTTTAAAGATTCACAATGATGATGTAATATTTTGTATCATAAACAAATGGGGGAAGTAGGATGTACCTTTATAATGAGGAAGTAGGATGGAACTTTTGTTATGAGGAAGTAGGATGGACATTTAAGTAATGAGGAAGTAGGATGGACATTTAAGTAATGAGGAAGTAGGATGGACATTAAATTATGAGGAAGTAGGATGGACATTTAAGTAATGAGGAAGTAGGATGGACATTTAAGTAATGAGGAAGTAGGATGGACATTTAAGTAATGAGGAAGTAGGATGGACATTTAAGTAATGAGGAAGTAGGATGGACATTTAAGTAACCAGGAAGTTGGATGGATGGACATTTAAGTAACAAGGAAGTAGGATGGACATTTAAGTAATGAGGAAGTAGGATGGACATTTAAGTAACTAGGAAGTGGGATGGACATTTAAGTAACAAGGAAGTAGGATGGACATTTAAGTAACCAGAACGTAGGATGGATATTTAAGAAATGAGGAAGTAGGATGGACATTTAAGTAATGAGGAAGTAGGATGGACATTTGAGTAATGAGGAAGTGGAATGGACATGTAAGTAATGAGGAAGTAGGATGGACATTTAAGTAATGAGGAAGTTGGGTGGACATTTAAGTGATGAGGATGTAGGATGGACATTTGAATAATGAGGAAGTGGAATGGACATGTAAGTAATGAGGAAGTAGGATGGACATTTAAGTAATGAGGAAGTTGGGTGGACATTTAAGTGATGAGGATGTAGGATGGACATTGAAGTGATGAGGATGTAGGATGGACCATTTTCTATTCATTTTCTTTTGATTTGACTTGGCCTTTTATTTAGTGTTATGATGAGTACTTAATCAGGTACTCTGTATGTTAACTGTTGTGTTGTACATTTTATTTATCGCGGTGCTAACAAGTAACACTATTCACTCGGTATTTAATAAACAATAGATAATATACAGTTATAGCAAGTTGATTTCTTGTTCTTCAGCAAAACTTCTTTACTTTTTGTACAAATAATCTTTTGATAATTTTGAATATTAAAACTGTACTTCAAAGATATCAGTTGCTTAGTATCTGTAAAATAGCCTCTTTTGAAATACATGTTTAAAAGGAGGGAAAATACAGCATTTGAAATTTGTTCCTTCAAATCTTTAAAGAACAAGAGACTAACTTTTTGCTTAAATTATTTTTTCAATCAAGGGTCAAGGCAACTAAATCCTTTCCCATCACCTAAGATAAAGAGGCAGTTAATTTGGTGACATACACACACTATAAAGTAATTGAATCAGTCTCATGAATAGGAAAGGCTCATAAAACATGTTAAAATATATATGAATTATTTCTATATCATCAAAAGGATACCTTATTTTGAGATGCTTTCAATTGGCACTCATCTGTTTTCCTCTAAAAATCTTCAGGAATGAATACAATTTATCATAATGTAAACATAAATTTGGCAACATCTGAAATATTTGTATTTCTTTTAACAGCAATAAATTCCTCCCCCTCCTCTGGCAGTAGTATTAGTGGCCTTGACCCAAATGAAGGTATCTATATATAAATAACCTTAAGTGATTTGGTATCTACTGCACTAATATGTAACAGCTTTATATAATATTGATTTCTATAAAAAGTTACGAGACAACTTACTAACATAAATATTTTGGGAAATCATAAGTTGAATAGCTGTTAAATGAATTACCCTTCATTTCAGAACTGATGCAAAAATAAAATAATAAGTTATCAAATCAGACAAGACAAACAATAGATAGATACAAATGTATATGAAAACTACAGTCCTTGCTGTTTGGAAACTTTCAGCTTCTTAGTCAGATTTCAAAAGGAAAGTTAGATTAACTTAATACCACCCCATTGTTCAATTAGGAAAAAAACCACGGAAAATTTGAAGTTACATCTATGGTTTTTATAAGAAATGATTTTGAAATAAAATGTCCATGTTTTCATAATAAATTGTTATCAATAAGTTAGGATGATGTTTTCTTCTTTAGATTTAAAGATTTGTCACTAGTTATATCGATTGTTCGATGATGGGTAAAAATAAATTTTGGAAAATGAATTGTCATAGGATCAAGTTAGGTTATTCTTGGTATTCTGTGGTATCAAGGGTGGATCAGAACAAGTCAACTTAGTGATTACAGCTTGCCTTGCAGCTGTCCAAGAGGAAAGACAACGAGTAAAGGAGAAGGGTGAAGGCGAGGTGGAGAGTACCAGTAGTGCTAATTCTGACATGCCTGTGGAGAAAGTTCTGGATGCAGAGCTGTCTGTTGACCCCAAACTGGACACTTACATAGACACACAGGTAAGCCATGGATATTGTATACCTATGTGAATACTGAAAAACAGGCAAATGACAGATACAGTACACATTAGACAAATGACAATATAGACTCACAAGTGTGACACAGATAATGCATACCAATGGTAATACTAAGAATGAAACAAATGAAAGTATAGACACGCTGAGAAGTGGATACTTGCACAGACACACAGAGAGATGATTGTGTGAACAAAACACTTGTAGACACACAGACAGATGATTGTGTATACACAACAGTTGTCCAGACACACAGACAGATGATTGTGTATACACAACACTTGTACAGACAACAAATTTGATTGTAAAGACATGACAGTTGTACAGACACACAGAAGGATGATTGTGTAGACACAACAGTTGTGCAGACACATACAGGGATGATTGTGTAGACACAACACTTGTACAGACAGATGATTGTGTAGACACAACACTTGTGCAGACACACAGACAGATGATTGTGTAGACACAACACTTGTCCAGACACACAGACAGATGATTGTGTAGACACAACACTTGTGCAGACACACAGACAGATGATTGTGTAGACACAACACTTGTACAGACACACAGACAGATGATTGTGTAGACACAACACTTGTGCAGACACACAGACAGATGATTGTGTAGACACAACAGTTGTACAGACAGACAGATTATTGTGTAGACACAACACTTGTCCAGACACACAGACAGATGATTGTGTAGACACAACACTTGTCCAGACACACAGACAGATGATTGTGTAGACACAACAGTTGTACAGACAGACAGATGATTGTGTAGACACAACAGTTGTACAGACAGACAGATGATTGTGTAGACACAACACTTGTGCAGACACACAGACAGATGATTGTGTAGACACAACACTTGTGCAGACACACAGACAGATGATTGTGTACACTGGCTGTCACCAACAAAAGGCAGACATTGTTAAGACTACTTTGTTTGACCAACTTCATCAAAAACATTGGAGGTGTGTGGTGGATATAGAAATCTTCATTTAACATAGCAAGGAACATAAAATGTAAATAAGTGTAAACGAGATGGGTTTAGTGAGTCTTCAAGTTTGGAAGCTGTCAGTACTGTACAATTGCATTTCCAAGGTGTGATTGAAATTTGAGGCTATTGCCTTCATAAATAACTTGAGAAGTGGGTTTGTGCGGTAGATATTAATTATGTACAACAGTAAGTGAGGGTTAACATTCAAGAAGAAGGGCTTTTGTGAGCATGGTGTGATAAAACATGGTCATTGCACAGCTCTAGCTATAATGGTCAGTCGAATGTTTATGTACTCGAATCTTCACTTAGGTAGTAGATGGGTTATTTTTAGAGCTTCAAAACAAATGTGAACACCAAAGAAGCTGTGTCTTGAAGGGAGAAGGAATTGTCTTTATGCAGCAAACCGGTATTTGTGGTTGGTTAACCAAGATCAATACCACATTTACTGAAGCCTGTTAATTATTGATGGACGAATTTTAAGCCCTGATCATAGGATGAAGAAAAATCCCTCCCTGGAAAAATTGTGCAATATGTAGCAACCTTGGTTGAAGATGTGATAGTATTGAAAGCTGTGTAAGAGAATACTGACAGTTAAGGCACCAACTGGTTACTAATTCAACAAGCATCAGTGAAGCAAATCTTTATATATTTCTTTCTGCCAGAATTTGCACAATTATTCTCACCAAATAATTGTGTAACTTAATTGAGAGCATGTAAAATAGGAAATTAGATTTCATTTATATATAGTATACATCCTGACAAAGTTGATGTTAGTTTGGAACAACTTCCTACCTCCACATAGAATGCAATAGAGAAAAAAAAAAGATCGGTTTCAACAGACCTGGATTCATGAACCACATACTCAGTTTGGGTAGTATATATGTCTTAGAGATAAGCCACCAGATATGTGAATATTATAACTAACAAAAAGCAAAATGGTTAGCTTAGTCAAAACTCATCGTGAAGAAAGGGAAATAAATCTCATTTATCTCGACTTTTAAGGTTGTAACTACTATATCGTGGCATGGTAAAGCACTAGCTGCATATATTCTAATACTCTGTGCTATATTTTGGAATTAAACAGATGTCCATTGTTGACAAGTCTCTGACATTGTATTTCATAATATTAAAGGCAAGTTTAATCCATATTTTATAGAAATGTATTGTAATGCAAATCATTTATATCTGAAAATTTCATACTTTCAATTGACATGCATACATACAGTAAGTGTTAAATGATGAAATTGATCTTTGTGAATGAAAATAGTTCTGTTATAATGATATAAACAAGTACTTGATGTTGATGTTAAAATTTTTTATGTAATTTTGACATTCCAGAAAGATCCAGTGACAAATATCTGCCAGGCTGCTGACAAACAGTTATTTACATTGGTGGCATGGGCTCGGAGAATACCACACTTCACAGAACTCCCCTTGGAAGATCAGGTTATCCTTTTACGAGCTGGTATGTTCTAAAAGCTTTACTCCATACCAAATTTGTTCTTTGGATAGAATACTTTAGGGTTGTCCCAAGTACCCAGATAAGGTTAAGGATGGAGGAGTAACCGGGGTTGAGATTGTGTACCCCAGGATGTTCCGTCTTCCATCTTTCCCAAAATATATTGCCATGCAAAGTATCATTTATTCATTGTTTTGTTCTGTTGTCCACTTTTTGTCTGTACTTCTCACAACTCATCCACAACAGCCATGTTCTTCACCATGTTGTATGGATAACCATGACGCTGTTTGAATGCGATTACTTCCTGTTGTTGCACTTAAGCGAGTCAGATTTCGTGTACACATCAACACAAACTTACAATAAGCTCTCCTGGGCCACAGTTGGTTTTTAATGACTTTTAAACGCACGTGACATTGAAAATGAGTGCTATGGCATCTGTCTTGGATATCTTGCCATCAGTTTTTTTTCTGGACGTTAAGTTTAAAGTGGCAGGACTTCCATTAATTAGTCCTGAGAGGAATGTCCATACCTTATCCAAATAGGCTGTTTGCTTCGTTACCAAAATTTTGTAATCATCCCAAACAGTCTTTTTCATTACAAGACTTTAACCAATGAATTATGTACAGTACAAAGAAGGCCCTAACAGAACATTTTCATAGCAATGGCAAATTTTGACACAGTAGAAAACAAGTTTTGTCAAAAGCTCTTGTTTCTTCTACATCCAGAAAGTAGTTCAGCTTGTCTGTGTCAGATGTGCATCGGTATTTTTCTGTTAGATTCAAAAAATGTTCCTGTTGTTTAACACATTAATGCTTCAGTATGTAAACTAAGTATGTTGCTTTCGCATCTTAAGCAGAGAGATTAATTCAAATTTTTCTGGTTGCAACCATTAGTCACAGAAGTGAATAATAAAGAAAACTGAATTTGAATCCTAACATTCCCGTATTATTTGATGCTGCTGTGTTACAGGCTGGAATGAATTGTTGATTGCTGCATTTTCCCATCGCTCTATTGTGGTGAAAGACGGTATACTGCTGGCCACAGGACTACATGTTCATCGAAGCAGTGCACATCAGGCGGGTGTTGGTACTATCTTTGATCGAGTTCTCACAGAACTTGTTGCAAAGATGAGAGAAATGAAAATGGACAAGACAGAGTTAGGCTGTCTAAGAGCTATTGTGCTGTTTAATCCAGGTGTGTAAGAATTCTAATCAGCAGTATCTATATTATAGACCTTGGTTGATTTTAAAGAGGTTTTGTAGCTGTTACCCAACCTCTGGTTGACACTCTATCAAAGTTGTGATATTGATCCGATTCATTCAGTAAAACTCAAATAATGAGTTCATATCGTGAATTCAGATATAATACATAATGATTTACATTGCTGTAGTTACAACTTACAAGCTAATCAAAATAAAAAAGGAAACTCAACAACACGAAGACTTTAGTGAAATTGCCGACATGTTTTGACCGCTATGCGGCCATCAGGAGCACATAGCGGTCGAAACATGTCGGCAATTTCACTAAAGTCTTCGTGTTGTTGAGTTTCCTTTTTCATTTTGATTGTTTTATTAGTAAGGAACTCTATCGAATCCCTAGGATCCGACTGAAGATACTACCGCAAAGTTCTACATTAGGAGTGTTGGATCACCCATTATTTATTAACTTACAAGCTATTAACGCTGATCTGCTGTCTTTTCAGATGCTAAAGGTTTGTCAGCCATACAGGAAGTAGAGGCTCTAAGAGAAAAGGTTTATGCGTCATTGGAGGAATATTCAAAAACACGTTACCCAGATGAACCTGGGAGGTTTGCTAAGCTGTTACTTAGACTTCCTGCACTGAGGAGTATTGGACTTAAGTGCCTAGAACACTTGTTCTTCTTCAAATTAATTGGTGATACACCAATAGACACTTTCCTGATGGAAATGTTGGAAAGTCCAAGCATAGGCACGTGACACCTGGGTGGACGGAGGGAGGGGTGTCGTCACACCTAGTAATTGATGGAAGGAGATTGATGTAAGATGTAACCAGGCCTGGACTGTGGCAGTGTCTTATGTGTTCCAGGTGTAAACCCTTCATTTGTAATATGGCATAGCCCTGCATCAATTGAAACATGAACAGTATATAGTATGTATATATATAAATATATGAAAATCCATTTTATGTTGGTGTTGATTATAGTAGCAAGTCACTGTGGCCATCATACAAGACATCAGCATTTACCTGGTGTGAAAGAATCGTTTTCCCATTTGGTCTATTTTTAATGATTTCTCCAAGCTGTTTTAGATTTATTACCATTTCTATTGACATGCCAGGGAAATGTTGTTTTGAACATCGTTAAAGCTTTTAGTTTGTGGTAATCATGTAAAGTATCAAACACGGTGTACCATTCACTTATTTTAGGTGAATTTCATTGATTTAAATGTAAAATCCCAATGCAGTGAAGGTATGGTTCTATGTTTCTAGTAATTTCCTTCACATTAAATGGTGGTAGATTTTGGAATTTTTTTTCTGAGAAATGTAAATATTGGAATAAATGGCACTTGGAAGAATCTTCTCATATTTTTGAAGGAAATTTAAATCATGGAAATTGAATTTGATATTAGCTGTTTATAACAAAATAGAGCTGTCAAGTCTTGAATGTTATTGTAACTTGTTTATGTTAACAAATATTTTTGTTTGAACACAGAAAACCTTACTGCTGCCACATGTTTTAATTTGATGACTTGTTGTAGTGATTGCATGTATGAATATGTTACATACCAGCATGAAATCATGATCCTAGAAACATGAGCACATGAAGCGACATTTCAGTTCATTTATATTATTATGATATTAATATCATTCAGATCATCATTAACTAAAAAGACTATCTGATGCAATAAAGGTAATTTTAAACACCAATATTGACACCAATATTGAAGAATTTCCGTCTTATAAACCACCAAGAAATGGCAATAAACTAGGTATGACTGTGGCAGCCTTTTCTTAACCATTCCCCTCCACCCCCCCTAAAATAAATTTTGTCTTTTACTGGAAAATACTGATTTCGTGAAAATATAAATCAACGAATGAACATTCTTGTATTGAAATACCTTCCAGGATATTGAGATGTCAACATCAATCATGACTGTTTATATGTTTTATCATGTTAGGGACATGTTAATGACAGATTAGTTAACACTCCTCCTGTATTTAATGATTTAAGGGAGTATGTGACATTTAGTAGTATCAGTTGGTAATTCAGTTTATTGATATGCTTGTTTATTTCAAGGAACTTTGTGCACAAAACCAGTTCAATGTACCTATTCACTAAAATCACATCTTTATTGGATTATTGATGTGAATATAGTGAATGTCTTTCAATTAACTGCCATCGGGTGGGGATACTGGGAGCAGAGTTGGTTCTTGTTAATTTCTCTCATGAGTTTCTTTCATCACATACACATGTAACATAAAATAGGGGCTTCAACATATTTACATTAAGCTTAACCTTAAATTAAAATTTTGAAAACAAAAACAAACCTGTAGATGATCAACAGACAACTGCTTTAGTCAAAGAAATTTATCATGTCTGTCATTATACAGAGTCAGAATTTTATTTTTCACTTTCACTTAGGTTTCCATGGCAATTTATTTCAAAGCAGATTGATAATTTAAGACTATAATATTGATAGTGTGTTCACGCACATGTATACCTGGGCCATCATAAGTGTTCAATGGTATCATGTGTTAGGTTGTTCTGTCACCAAGTATCAAGGCAGCTATACACCAGGTGACGATATCCTGTAAAACAGAGGGAAACATATCACACTGATAGTAAAAATCCATGAAAGGCTAGTGTCTCTGACCAAGGTAAAATGTAAGCTGTTTAATTACCAGCATTTATTTTCTTCAACTAGGTATTTGTTAGTGAGGAATCTACTTTGGATTTTGTTGAATATTTGTGTTATATGAACATTTAAAGTGCTAACTTAATATACGAATATATATATATAGCTATTGCTGAAAGTTTTATATATACATAGGTAATTTGGTGAATACCATTGTTAGTAAGTTACTGTTGCAGTATTTTTCGTGATTTTTAAAGGTTGCAATTCCTGTTCTACAATAAGTATTCAACATTTTGAAATGGTCAAGTTTCAGAATTCAGATTTGCATATGTTGACAGATGTTTGGCACTCTAGATGAAAAACTCTGTGGTTTTTGTATTTGGATGATCATACATTGTTTTTAGGGTTTTAGAGATAAACATTGCCGCATTTATTGTTTGGTCTGTAGTTTTACATGATAGCCACAAAGGCACTGCAAGGATTGAGCTACACACTTACTATGTATTTGATGTCAATTTTACTGGAAGTAAAGTTTTGGGATATACTTTTTCTGGACAGCATTCAAAGAAAGAAAAAAGCTTACAAAACTACTTTTATATTTTCTTTTAAAATACTGGAGTTGCAGTTCTGCATTTTCTGTTTCGGTAATTTCTTGCAATGTCCTGCCTCATCTATGTGCCTGTTCTTTTACAACTGCCCTGCTGTTTAAAAAAGCAATTTAAAGGCTTACAGCTCCTGGAACAATTTTGCATATGATTGCATGTTTTCTGTTAAATTAATGTCATTTTTTGACACAAGATATAATGTCAGTAATTCATTAACAACAAATTTGTGATGGAGGAGTAGTATTGTTTTAAAAATCCAATCTAAATTAAGGGAAAAGATGGAGATGTAAGATAGTGACTAAACCAGTGGTTAGCTTATGCAGTATTTAGTACAAACCTATCACCTTGTTAACTTGTTTCAGAGTAAGTATTGTTTGATCAAATTGTATGAATGAGTGCCCTGTCCATCATGTATGAATAAAACATGATCTTGGTTACTTGGAAAAAAATAGGGCATATCTGTAAGGAAGTGGTGATAGCCTCACGGTCTGTCACAGGAGTGTATGTACCACTCCAGGATGTGAGGCTATCTCATCATAAGTGCTAGACTTTTTCTGTGATGTATTTCAGTGTTTTGTTTGTATAGATTAAAAGTGCTGTTTTCTTCGTGTATTGCTGGATGTGTTATGTAAATACTGTAGCTGTATATAAGTAGAAATGGTCGACATGTTGCACAAGGGAAGAATCGACCAACCTTTACACGTTCACACCTGTATTGTGAATCAGTGGATGGCAGGGTCACATCACAAGCACTCTGTATTATTGTTGGGGATTCATTTGTTTACATTTTAAAATATCCTCCACTCACATTTGTTTCAGTAATGACTTGGGAGAGAAACTTGTATGTTCAGTAATGAAAACTGTGATTTTACATGTTTTGTATTGGTAAGCAGTTTGAGCAAAGATTTAATATTAAAAATTTGGACATTAAAAGAAATGAGGTAAATGGATGTTTTCTGAAGTTGGGTATGGGATGGGGGTAATGAAGAACTACAGGAGCTGGCCTATTTGTATGATGATTGTAACAGAATTATACAGGGGGACGGATGTTCCTTGCATTTGATACTCTTGATCTGTATTTACAGGCTTTATTACATGGCAAGATTTATTTGGAAGTTCTATGTATTAACACAAGATGATTTGTATAATTTTCATGTAAAATATTTTTATGTAATTCGGTTTTCTTTTTTTAATGTTTTCAATATAATAGATTCTTAAATATTTTGACTTTATCACTGCTATTTTTTTAATTGACTCGTGTTGATATGGCGGTCTTGTAATGGGACATAGAGCCACATATTTTAATTCCTGCATACTACAAAACAAGGTGTCTGTGAATGTGGCCCACGTGTTGATGAACTATATATAAGGACTTGTTTGGTCCTGATAGCAACTGCAGCTTCTCACATTTGGCTGCATATGGTATATGCCTTTCACAATGAAATAAATAAAAGATAACTATGGAAAGATGTTATGTTTTTGTGTTTTGCTTTTTTCATGCTTTTACCATCATGCTTATACCATGGCAGACGACCATCATTTTGTGTTGAAAGAAAGAGAAACAAAATTCAGTTTATGTTGCATTCAGTGGGGCCCCAAAAAAGGGACATGGAGATAAACCTTTATAAGAGTGCTTTCACTCTTGAAGTCTGGTATCGTAGCATTAAGTGGACTTAATATTATACAATACAGAGAGCAATAGATGAAGTGCAATCAAGCGTAAATCTCCAAACTGAAATAGGTGGTGAACACCTTACTGAACAACATAGCAGAGGACACAACTACAACACCACATAAAAGTCCATTTCTCAGCCTCCTGATGATGAACATGCACTGTCATGGGTAGAGAACATGGAATCCTGAACCATGATCTCCACCAGTGGTGTGAGATCAAACTTTTTGAACAGCTTCAGAATATTTGGGATGTCCCCAGCTGGCAGATAGACCCTGGCTTATTAGAATTACTTCTTTCACTTCTGGTCCATCATCATAATCATCATTCATCATCAGCAGGTAGAAAACTTTCAGGTACGGTCTTTTGTCGTCTGTCCTAAAACGATACTAGTTATCACTATAAGGATAAGGATAGGATGGATCATTCTCAAATTCCAAATCACTTTTGTCTCTATAGCTGTGCTTGTCTATTTCGGAACTGATAAGAAAAAAAATAAAATGACCCGACAGGTAGCCATCTTGAATTTTGACATTAATGGTTTGTTATTGGAATTTTTTGAAAACTACCTGATGGATCAAAGCACCTAAGATAAATGAAGGAAAGAGATTAAACTCACGAAGACGTAATATTTCGTTATTCTAAGATTGTGGGCGTCAACATATCTTGTTTAACTCGCCTGGACTTCAGAATCACTGTCCCATCAACATAAACAGAATCCAGTCTCGTGTGGACACAGTGACAGGGTTTATAAGGGGAAGGGATGTAAATTAATGGAGTTTGACCGTACATCCTGGAGTGATGGTCTGTGGGTTTAAACGGGTGTCTGGAGGTAGGGGTGGCTGATCCGAGTAAGGAAAACGGATGTCTGGAGGTAGGGGTGGCTGATCTGAGTAAGGAAAATGGATGCCTGGAGGTAGGGTTGGCTGATCTGAGTAAGGAAAACGGATGTCTAGGTGTAGGGTTGGCTGATCCGAGTAAGGAAAACGGATGTCTGGAGGTAGGGGTGGCTGATCCGAGTAAGGAAAACGGATATGTAGATGAAGGGGTGGCTGATCCAAGTAAGGAAAACGGATGTGTAGATGTAGGGGTGGCTGATCCGAGTAAGGAAAACGGATGTGTAGATGTAGGGGTGGCTGATCCGAGTAAGGAAAACGGATGTTTATATAAGTTTACACTGTGTCCGATACACTGTGTGATCTTACACTGGTTTGATACGTAAATTTATGAAGAAGTTCTATTATTTTTTTCATTTACATGCCGAAATTAAAAAAAAAAAATGTTGACGAGTTTCCCAAATTTTCATATCAAATGCAAACGAATTCAGATTCCTTATATCATATGGTCTATTTTTTAAGCAAAGATGGTAGATTTCCTACGTCAAACTTTAAGTTATGTCCGCTGGCTGTTTTCTCCATTGTTACGTCCAAGTATATTCTGTGAATGTGTGACGTCATTTAATTGTCTAAAGTGAAATCCAAATAAGCTACATTGCACATGCAAAGATATTCAATAAACAAGAAGGCAATCACGGTAAAACAGATTGTTTTGCAATAGTGGCGTGGGATGATTCCTTTCCTCCAAACTGATGTTTGTCTTCCTGACTTGGAAGAGCTCAATATCCTGATTTTACCGCTTCCGTCCAATCGTGACAGATGTTGCCATATTACATGTATAATCAGCTCGTTTCTTTAGTTTCTTTTAAAATGGTCAAATTCTAATTTGGGTAAACGTGAGAGTATAAAGCTGTCTTCAATTCAAACTCAAAAGATTGAAACATGAACAAGGATATGACCCAACCCGGATAACGTCTCTAAGAAAGATCAATTCGACAGAGCAATTTTCGTCTTATGCTGTAGACAATCAAATATACACTGAGACGAACTCTTATGACCATTACTAAGAAAATGCTAATCGAGATATCACAAAAACACAAAAAATTATTTCCAATAAATCGTGACCAAGTTATCTGCCAAGTAATAAACTCCATCATGTATACATGTTTATTTATCGTGGGTGATTGTCGTCGACTGATGGAAGATTCTTAAAAAAAAAGTGAAAACTTCGCCAAGGAAAACAGTTGTTAAGTCTTATATTACTGGTTGGGCAAGATTGTCTCCGTTTTGGATACCGAGGCACAAAGAATGATAACTCAATTAACACAGTGTTTCGGGAGAGCGCTAAATATGAAGAAAGGGATTGTATAGAAGAATATCGGACAGTCTTATGACAAGACTTCTATCAAATACTGATAGGATTATAACCCAAACAACTCGTCTAAAGCTTACGACAAGGATTTATAGGTTTGCATTAGTTAAGGGCTTGATTCGAAAGTTCTAAGGAACGAAGCGAAGACAAGAACATACACATATTAAATGTTATAACGACATAGTTGAGTTCGTCATTAAGGACAGAGGGCTAGATTTCCGCGTATTTAATCTAAACAAACTGAACCTCCTAAACAGCCCAATATCTTCAGACAATTCGGTTTAAATCTTTCATATAATAAGTGTGTATATATATATGAAAATATAAAAGAATGATAGAATTTAACGTGTCGTCGATGTTAAACTACGAAATGTCATGAACATACTTTTCCCGAATTTCCTGTGGTGAAATTTTTATCTCTAACTTGATGTCGATATCTTCGAAAGTATTGAACAGCATATTAATTGGATTTCAACCTATTCCACTGTATTCACATCATTCACAACGAGTAAGTACTGTGGACGCGATAATTAACAAGTTTTGTTTTGTTTTTTTTTTTTTTAGAGAAAGACGACTAGATTAGACGATTAGATTTTTGTATTAGAGTCAAGTCAATTGAATGAAATGACAAACCCAAGACGAACCGTAACATTTTCAATCTGACCATCATCTATTAACACGTGTGCACAGCGTTCATTCTATTTTTACAACTCGTTTGTCACCGTTCAGCAAGTGTGATCGTTCTTAGGTGGCGGGGATTTTTTATCATTTTTGTCAATAATCAAGACGGTGGAAAAAGTAATATTCTATGTTGACGCTAACTAATTAAGGTCGATTTTACACTGGTTTAATAAATATGATGACAGCATCCCCCAAAATGTACAGAAATAATAATAAAAAGGATTCTTTTCTTAAATAGGTTTTAGTCGTTCCGGATTTTCATGTTTTCTTCGGTCCGGAATTAAATGATGTATCATGACTTCCGTTGTTTCGGTTGTTGTAATCCAAAATGGCGGCCACCTAGCAATGTTTCGTGGGACTTGCAAAACTACGAGTTTTTCTGCAAACTATGAGTTCAGCAGCGCAAGTATTAAGGTGATTTTAGGAATATTAGAAACTTACGTGTACATTCAAAACATATTTATTTCAGCGTAGCTCATGAATATTGTCTAAAAGCCATATTAGGGAATATGTTAGAGTGTCCCCACCATGTTATCAATGACTTTGCTGGAGCACATTCGTCAAGTCAATGGGGAAAAACAACATTTCACTTACAAACGTTTGTAAACAGTGATGATTTCCGTCACCGCTTGTTCCGTCATACTTTGTCATGTAATCCTTTGGTCACTGTTCCTTCATTAATGTTTCAATGTTACTTGTAGGTAGATTGCAAATAGTTCGGAACATTTTTTCTAATTTCTTCTTCTCGTTCTGTGTTCTTCTTGTTCCATTCCATGTTTCCGATAAAAAAAAATCAGAGATTTGTTTTCCTGTAGATGTCCAGAGGGAGATATGTGATGATAATGTGTGTAGATTCAATATGTAGTGTCAGGTGTTAAGCGAACATGCACGGCTAGTTGAACATGTTGGTTTGTTAATATGAGATCTTTTTTGCTCGCATGACTTTTCGTATTAAAAGGTGTCATCCTGCCATCAATAGTCAGGGTTCTGTTGATGTGTAAAATTCATATTCTTTATATGTGCCACTGGTAATGAACACAACAATATTCAATATATTACAGGATTCACACAAAATCACACCAGATACTTATGTTCCAGGTGTTTTCACACATATTTTGTAATAGGCACAGTATCATGGTAAATGACAGCGCCCTCACATATACTATACCCTCCCCCTAACCACAATTAGGCCCTGAAACACAATAACTACTAATCATATAAAATCACCTACATTAGCTCATGTACACCTGGCATGTATCAGTATTGATAAAGAATGCAATTACCAACATATTGAACGGGAAAACAAAAATAAATGTTAAACTTGTTAACCATATTAAATAATTATTCATATTAGACAAGCCTTCTTCTAATAAAATGTCATCATATAGGTTGTCACAGTAGGATGTTACATGTGGTCATGTTCATGCTAGAATTCTTTTATTCGAATGCACCAATAGACAAATGAGCTGAACTAGAGTGTTGACACTATATGAACTTTGTGGAGTAAATGTGTCTTTCAATATTCATGACATAAGCTAGAGATGTGCAGGACTCTATGAAAATACTACAAGATATGGTGTCTGGAAACAAGCAGTTTATTTATTTGACTTAATGTCACAAAGACTGAATTACTACTATAGGTCTCTTGTGCTTGTTTTGTTTCATTTTATAAATTTTGGGAAAAGGAATATATTGGCCTGTCTGTTTTTATGTAGTTCATTATTATATTATTTAAATCTTAAAACACTACTTATTACTATTAATGAATTTTTATGGTGTCATACTTGTTTTAAATGGCATAACATTACAATAGAGATCTTGTTAGTTCAGTTATGAATTGACATAATCCTGTGAATAGATATTTCTTTCTCAATCAAGGTATTGATATTATTTATTGTGTGATGTTAATATGGGATAAGCTTTTCCTTTCCATTCCAGACAAGCAGAAGCTCTCAAAGCAAGTGTATCAGGTAAGTACTCAGCTGTTAATCATAGGTATACTATGTAGCAGTAACCAAGGTGGCTGTGAATTATACAGTGTCTAGTTATCATATCCTTTACTGTAAAAAAGAAAAACAAAAAGATATGTTACTTTGATAATCATTATTATCATATGTGTTGTATTTTACTGAATAATCAAATATTTTTCACTATACATGAACTTTGATACACTGTACAACAATTATTTTTATCCATTATTTGACCCTGGAATAACTGTCCTATCCTGTCCTCCTCTGATGTGTCTGATAATGTGCTATTTGTCATGTGCTATCAGGGTTTTCAATAAGAGCCGGTCGCCGGCCAATTTGATCGGCTACTTTGATCATTTGGCCGCCTACACCAATCCAGTTCCGTAATAATGTTTCGTATACGACTACACGTACACGGCAGGCCAGCCTCCTACTTTCACTACACAGCCTACTACTAACCAAATTATGGAAAACCCTGTGATATTTATGATTACCTTAACTCACAGTTTTATAGTTACTCTATGTATTATTGTTCAAAAATGTTTATATTTTTACAAGATTCAAACAAAGGTATATCAGAAACATGGGTGGCCAGACAGAGGTTGGAAGATCTGTACAAGAAACTGCTGTTGATGGACTTGGAGTATGCTCTTGATAAGAAAGTAGAGCAAGACCTGTGAGTACACTTAACTTTTGTGATAAGAAAATGGTTTCTGAATTTTCAGAGTTTTACTTTGTCTTTTTGCTACCAAGAGACTGTAGGTATCAAAGAGCAATTAAAAGTGATGTTATATATGTATATAGAGTGACTGATTTATGCTTGAATATTACTTTCTCTGTGAAAGTACATATATCTATATCAATATAAGAACCCTATGTAATTAGATAAATACCTGGAACAATATACCTTTAAAAACATTCACCATAGCTGCTGTCTTTGGCTAATACTGTGTTTGTTACCTGTTAAGAACCGTTAATTATCCAATTAGCCAAGCCTTTCATGCTTGTTAAGTCAGGCACCTGTGTGAATTTGTTTACATAAGGTAATTAAATATGTTAGGGTCATGATGATTGTGGTTTCCTAGTTATCAATGGATCAAACCACAACTGTTTCATCACAGTAACCAGTAATCAATTAATCTTTCTGTAGAAAACCTTTTTTTTTTTTTTTTAAATCTGACCCGAGTGCGCGCTATACATGCAAATTTACAGTATTCGTGGTGATATATCGTTGAATGATCTTTAATGTCGAAAAAGAGTTTAGGGATTGATGTCTAAGAAAGTACTAATTTACTTTTTATTTCAGATGGAACCATGCTTTTAAAAATCACATCAACAGTTTACAGTCACAAACTAAAGACAAACAGGTATGTATAAAAAAGGTGTACGTAAAATGTGTGATAAATGAACAGGAAGTCAGCTTCAGTTTATAATTCAACACAGAACTGATGGCAGACAACAGATATTTTAGTTTATAAAAGAAACACCAAGAAATAAGATTGATTTACCCTGGTATGTATAAAAACAGACATTTGGGTTTGAAAGTTTGGATATACTTAATGTACTGCTTCTTTTGAGGTACAAATTGTCCACAACAGTACTTTAATTTAGGGTTGCAATAACTCAGTTGGTAGAGCATCAGGCTATACAACCCAAGGTTTAAGATCTGACATAGGTGTAGTGCAATCCCTGCCTGTGTTTGTTTGGACTTCTCAAAAAGCTGATATCATGGGTAGTTCTATGCTGTCATGGTTGTGTCTTTGGACAAGACACCTTACCCCAGTCACTTTGGATAACATGTTGTGGGTCTCCTGCATGGTGTTCATTGTGGTTCAGCTACTACAAAGAGATCTCCACCTCAAAATAACCTCACATCTTTATAGGTTGATTAACCCAGTAAATGAAAAACAAAAGAAACTACTTTTAAACCATTGTTTTGTCAGATTTTTTGTATTTTTATCCAAAGAACAAGCTTGAAAGGGTTTATTTAAATGAAAACAAATATGAGCATTATATTTTATACAAAAGTAGAAAAAAGAGCTGTTTCATATATATGTAAATTTGTCAGATATAATTTGTACAAAAATAAAAAAAAATAAATGCGAGACAACCAGGAATAAAGTGACGATATCTCATATGAAAGTTATTAGGGTTATTGTTTTAGCCTCGGAAAAAAGATATTATGATATACAGGAGTCATAGGAGTGAACTGCCACTGGACATACTGATACTAATCTTGTCCATTATGTGAGGTACAGTGAAGAGCTGGAAACAGAAGAAAAAGACTGCAACAGATAATGTATGTTGCTTATGTTACCCCGGTAAAATACTAGCTGCAATATACTACTTGGCTAGAGAGAACTCTTTAGCTTGATTGGTTGAGCATCAGACTAGTAAGCCAGGGGTCCCGGGCTCAATTCCAAGCAGAGGCATTTAAATAAATAATGATCTCTGTTACACTTATAGGCTAGTTGACAGATGTAAGTGGATTTTATATGAGATGTATGGTGCTTTGTCTTTTTCATTTTTCATTACAGCTGTGAGGACAGATCACCATTTTTACATTGTAAACACTGATACTTTGAGCTCAAAGATTTTTTTTCGTCATTGTAGAACCCAAAGAGAGGGGAGACCCAAGCTACACTGAACCTTTTCCTGGAGACAGCCAGTGGTTTTTACTTACAGGTCTGTTAAATCACTCCTGTGTGAAAGTTTCTTTGTCATGCTATGAAAGCTTTATTTTCTGGTAGTGATAATATTTCCTTCTTTAAATGATAAACTTGTATTTACTAGCATTTATCTTCTCTTGTGATAAAGTTTCTATCACAAAGCTGAGACCTTTTTCCATGTTATAGCAGACACTTGATCTGTAATACTTTTGACATATAACATATTAATTCATGGTTGCTATCTTTAATCCTATAAACAGGATGATATTATAGAATATGAGGACTGTACAATAGACACACATGCAAATAACACTCTTTCAATACAAATTTAGAAATAGATACCTTAGAGCCAAATAATTCAATAAACTGCACCATAAAGCTGTTTCATCCTTCTCGGAGTCGTCATTGATGCTAAGGGCCAAAACTTTGAAAAGTTGGAGGCGATTGAGGAAAATCCAAGGTGATTGAAAAAAAATGTCAGAATCTAGATGGGGAGGTGCATTACCCTATTTCAATTAATGTCATAATTTTTGTGTATATAATATTTCAATTAATTTTGTAATTTTTGTGTATATAATATTTTAATTAATTTTGTAATTTTTGTGTATATAATATTTTAATTAATTTTGTAATTTTTGTGTATATAATATTTTAATTAATTTTGTAATTTTTGTGTATATAATAATTTCAAAATAACGTCAAGTAAATGTGTGTATTCTGAATCATGTCACTATTCAAATTAATTAAAATTATGAAATACTTTAGGACTAAAAAATCCACCAGTAGTGTCTTCCGCTTACAATCTCGTTGATTGTACAAAAGACACACTAGTAACTAGCAACTTTCAATACAAATTTTGAGTTTTATTTGTTTTTTTATCTTCTGTTTTGGCTTCCTTGTTGTATACTGCCTTTAATATGGTTGTTCACATTTTCAGCTTGTTAATGTTAGTTAGCTGCAATAGTACATCAACAGTTCAGTTCAACACATGTTGAACGCTGATGAACTGCAGATCATTCATTTGACAAGCTTGTTCATTCATTATCATTTCTTAAACTTGTTGACTGGTATGTGAAGTAAATTTTCTTGTTTAACATGAAGGGTCATGTTTGTGTCCTATTTCCTGTCCAGTAAACAATGGCTGTGAGACATATCTCATGATATTTTACAGTTTGTTTTGTTCCTGTTGTTTGAAACCAAAGTGGTCCCTTACTACTCATGTGGGTGTGGTTCACCACCGCTATATATCTTTTTTTATGCCCCCGCCATTTATGGCCGGGGGCATATAGCGTTGCCCATGTCCGTCTGTCCTGTCCCGTCGCGTCGCGTCGCGTTCCAAATCAGTATATTTTTTGCAATTTTTGAAACTTCATACAAATATTTGGAAAGACCTCATGCAGTGTCGAATTTCTCAGCATTCTAAAAAAAGATGGCCACCAGCCTCAAAAAAGAGGAACATCACTTATTCCTACATAATTTGGTATGTGGGTTTTAAGGCAGTACTCATTTTTTAGAACAAAACAAATTCATGTACTGTTAAATCAACTTGTCAATTTAAGTGAAACCAAGTAGTTGCATACAAATTAACAAAAAAACTATTATTTCAAAATGTGTTTTATCAAGTTCCTTTCTGTCAGCCTAGATCACATGTGATAGTACCAAACAGATGGACTGTTGTACTCAGTCCAAGTAGGTAAAAAATTGAAATGTGTATCGAACCCTTCTTACTGAATAATGAGTTAATAATCAAATCAAAGTTATAGCACTCCATTCTGAATACTTCATGTTACATTGATGTAACCTTAGTAAATATTATTATTTGGACATAAGTGTATGGCTGTGCTTCATGGCTGTAATTAAGCAGCCAAGTCTGTGTCATATGTTCCAGTATAATAGGTGTAGTCTCTTGTTTCCACTAGTTGCTGCAGCTGGTATGCACCACCTTCAAACTGGATCTCCCTTTCAGGAGAAAATCTTCATGCTTCGGCATTTTGAAAGGTATGTTTTTCGAAAATTTGAGTGTTATTTTATGCTGTAAGGTATCATGAAATGTTATGTATATGTGTTAAGAAAAATACAGAATATATTGAAAGCAGTCATCATCTTGATAACACAATCGATATTTGTTGTGATGGGGATTTTCAGTGAAATTTAACGATAACTTAATTTACAGTGTCTAATTGTGACCTGATGCTTACAAATAGTATTTCATCCAATCATTACTGGGCAGATGAAGTAGAGAGTCAAGCATTTGATGGACCTCACAATAAATAATCTTCTATAGATAGAATGGGGTCAATATCTATATTTATCATCCAATCATTAGTGGGCAGAAGAAGTAGAGAGTCAAGCATTTGATGGACCTCACAATAAATAATCTTCTATAGATAGAATGGGGTCAATATCTATATTTATCATCCAATCATTACTGGGCAGATGAAGTAGAGAGTCAAGCATTTGATGGACCTCACAACAAATAAACTTCTATAAATAGAATGGGGTTAATATCTAAACTTCTATAAATAGAATGGGGTTAATATCTATATTACATGTATAGCATGCTTTCAGATAGTTAATTTTAACAGCAATGATAAATTTGATGTGAAGAGAACATTAAGATATTGTGAAAACCAATCAAATTACTGCTATTGATGATATTCTTAATTTTTATCATTCACACAGAGAAAATTCCTTTGAAAGTGAAGATAACTCCACCAAAAAAGAGTTCTTGTCTGTACATTTGTCAACACTGCCTGGTTCACCTGGGAGACATCGGTCTGTATTAGCTGGTCACTCTGTCTTATATACTGGTCACTGTACTGGTCACTCTTGTTTGTACTGGTCACTGTGTTATGTGTACTGGTCAACACTGGGATAGTACTAATCTCTATTGACATAGGACTGATTACAATTCTGTAGCACTTAAAAACTTTAAAACTTTAAAGTTTACAGTAAACTCATCTATTTTATTAATATATGATGATACGAATTAAATTATTTTACAACAAAATTAATCACAGTTGGTGACCTGGGTTGAAGCACACATGGTTCTTTTCATTATACACTGTAAGAAATGTTTACTATATATTTTTAAGGATATATATATATATTTATCTTTTAGGGGAACAAATTTGTAGTAGGTGTATTGTCAGTAGATCATTATATCTGGCTGTTCCATCATTGATGTCAGTATATCTGGCTGTTCCATCATTGATGTCAGTATATCTGGCTGTTCCATCATTGATGTCAGTATATCTGGCTGTTCCATCATTGATGTCAGTATATCTGGCTGTTCCATCATTGATGTCAGTATATCTGGCTGTTCCATCATTATGTCAGTATATCTGGCTGTTCCATCATTGATGTCAGTATATCTGGCTGTTCCATCATTGATGTCAGTATATCTGGCTGTTCCATCATTGATGTCAGTATATCTGGCTGTTCCATCATTGATGTCAGTATATCTGGCTGTTCCATCATTGATGTCAGTATATCTGGCTGTTCCATCATTGATGTCAGTATATCTGGCTGTTCCATCATTGATGTCAGTATATCTGGCTGTTCCATCATTGATGTCAGTATATCTGGCTGTTCCATCATTGATGTCAGTATATCTGGCTGTTCCATCATTGATGTCAGTATATCTGGCTGTTCCATCATTGATGTCAGTATATCTGGCTGTTCCATCATTGATGTCAGTATATCTGGCTGTTCCATCATTGATGTCAGTATATCTGGCTGTTCATCATTGATGTCAGTATATCTGGCTGTTCATCATTGATGTCAGTATATCTGGCTGTTCCATCATTATGTCAGTATATCTGGTTGTTCCATCATTGATGTCAGTATATCTGGCTGTTCCATCATTGATGTCAGTATATCTGGCTGTTCCATCATTGATGTCAGTATATCTGGCTGTTCCATCATTGATGTCAGTATATCTGGCTGTTCCATCATTGATGTCAGTATATCTGGCTGTTCCATCATTGATGTCAGTATATCTGTCTGTTCCATCATTGATGTCAGTATATCTGGCTGTTCCATCATTGATGTCAGTATATCTGGCTGTTCCATCATTGATGTCAGTATATCTGGCTGTTCCATCATTGATGTCAGTATATCTGGCTGTTCCATCATTGATGTCAGTATATCTGGCTGTTCCATCATTGATGTCAGTATATCTAGCTGTTCATCATTGATGTCAGTATATCTGGCTGTTCCATCATTGATGTCAGTATATCTGGCTGTTCCATCATTGATGTCAGTATATCTGGCTGTTCCATCATTGATGTCAGTATATCTGGCTGTTCCATCATTGATGTCAGTACATCTGGCTGTTCCATCATTGATGTCAGTACATCTGGCTGTTCCATCATTGATGTCAGTACATCTGGCTGTTCCATCATTGATGTCAGTACATCTGGCTGTTCCATCATTGATGTCAGTATATCTGGCTGTTCCATCATTGATGTCAGTACATCTGGCTGTTCCATCATTGATGTCAGTATATCTGGCTGTTCCATCATTGATGTCAGTATATCTGGCTGTTCCATCATTGATGTCAGTATATCTGGCTGTTCCATCATTGATGTCAGTATATCTGGCTGTTCCATCATTGATGTCAGTATATCTGGCTGTTCCATCATTGATGTCAGTACATCTGGCTGTTCCATCATTGATGTCAGTACATCTGGCTGTTCCATCATTGATGTCAGTACATCTGGCTGTTCCATCATTGATGTCAGTATATCTGGCTGTTCCATCATTGATGTCAGCATATCTGGCTGTTCCATTATTGATGTCGTGTCGTCAGTACATTATTATCATTGGCTGTTCTGTCATTTGCCTGTGTTACAGCTCGTTATCGACAACAGATCGAGCAGGCCCAAACCTACTATTGGCATGCTGCCAACCTTCTGCCTTTCAATGGTAAGTCAGCACCTTACAACGGAACTTTTCAACCTTCATGAAGATCTTAGGAGAGATAATAAGCACAATAGAGTGATTGGTCAGTACCTAAAATCATCTGACTATAATTGCAGTGATTGGTCGGGCATCAGCGATGTTGTGATATGTTACTTTGTTTAAATCTTGCTACACATTCTTCAGTCCTATTTAGAATATTCAGACAAATAATTTTGACGTACTTTCAAGGTCACACTATTAAAAAGTAATGAAATATAAGAAAAAAAACCCTTGTTAACGGGAGGTAGAATTTCAGTTATATCAATATTGCAGTAATATATGGAACTACTGTAAACTAACATAATTTGGCGCAATCAAGTTTGAGTCTGTTATCACTTTTTGGCAAATTAGCACATTGATAAATTAGTGCATTCATAACAATTGATATTTCTAATAAAATAATAGTTGGTGTCGTTATCTTATCTTACTAAATCAGATTTAATTTAACCAGTGTTTTTCATTATTCGTCTTTTCATGTGTTACCACATCTAGAGATTTGTCTAATCCAGACACGTAGCAAGCATTGTACATTTTATTGTAAAACAATGACACCTGTCTAAACCAGACACACAGTAAACTTTGTACATTGTATGGTAAAACAATGACACCTTTCTAATCCAGACACACAGTAAGCTTTGTACATTATATGGTATATAAAACAATGACACCTGTCTAATCCAGACACACAGTAAGCTTTGTACATTGTATGGTAAAACAATGAAACCTGTCTAATCCAGACACACAGTAAACTTTGTACATTATATGGTAAAACAATGACAATTGTCTAATCCAGACACACAGTAAGCTTTGTACATTATATGGTAAAACAATGACAATTGTCTAATCCAGACACAGTAAGCTTTGTACATTGTATGGTAAAACAATGACAATTGTCTAATCCAGACACACAGTAAGCTTTGTACATTATATGGTAAAACAATGACAATTGTCTAATCCAGACACAGTAAGCTTTGTACATTATATGGTAAAACAATGACAATTGTCTAATCCAGACACACAGTAAGCTTTGTACATTATATGGTAAAACAATGACAATTGTCTAATCCAGACACAGTAAGCTTTGTACATTATATGGTAAAACAATGACAATTGTCTAATCCAGACACACAGTAAGCTTTGTACATTATATGGTAAAACAATGACAATTGTCTAATCCAGACACAGTAAGCTTTGTACATTATATGGTAAAACAATGACAATTGTCTAATCCAGACACACAGTAAGCTTTGTACATTGTATGGTAAAACAATGACACCTGTCTAATCCAGACACACAGTAAGCTTTGTACATTGTATGGTATATAAAACAATGACACCTTTCTAATCCAGACACACAGTAAGCTTTGTACATTGTATGGTATATAAAACAATGACACCTGTCTAATCCAGACACACAGTAAACTTTGTACATTGTATGGTAAAACAATGACACCTTTCTAATCCAGACACACAGTAAGCTTTGTACATTGTATGGTATATAAAACAATGACACCTGTCTAATCCAAACACACAAGCTTTGTACATTGTATGGTATATAAAACAATGACACCTGTCTAATCCAGACACACAGTAAGCTTTGTACATTGTATGGTATATAAAACAATGACACCTGTCTAATCCAGACACACAGTAAGCTTTGTACATTGTATGGTATATAAAACAATGACACCTGTCTAATCCAGACACACAGTAAACTTTGTACATTGTATGGTATATAAAACAATGACACCTTTCTAATCCAGACACACAGTAAGCTTTGTACATTGTATGGTATATAAAACAATGACAACTGTCTAATCCAGACACACAGTAAAATTTGTACATTGTATGGTATATAAAACAATGACACCTGTCTAATCCAGACACACAGTAAGCTTTGTACATTGTATGGTATATAAAACAATGACACCTGTCTAATCCAGACACACAGTAAACTTTGTACATTGTATGGTAAAGCAATGACACCTTTCTAATCCAGACACACAGTAAGCTTTGTACATTGTATGGTATATAAAACAATGACACCTGTCTAATCCAGACACACCGTAAGCTTTGTACATTGTATGGTATATAAAACAATGACACCTGTCTAATCCAGACACACAGTAAGCTTTGTACATTGTATGGTATATAAAACAATGACACCTGTCTAATCCAGACACACAGTAAGCTTTGTACATTGTATGGTATATAAAACAATGACACCTGTCTAATCCAGACACACAGTAAACTTTGTACATTGTATGGTATATAAAACAATGACACCTTTCTAATCCAGACACACAGTAAGCTTTGTACATTGTATGGTATATAAAACAATGACAACTGTCTAATCCAGACACACAGTAAAATTTGTACATTGTATGGTATATAAAACAATGACACCTGTCTAATCCAGACACACAGTAAGCTTTGTACATTGTATGGTAAAACAATGACACCTGTCAATCCAGACACACAGTAAGCTTTGTACATTGTATGGTATATAAAACAATGACACCTGTCTAATCCAGACACACAGTAAGCTTTGTACATTGTATGGTATATAAAACAATGACACCTGTCTAATCCAGACACACAGTAAGCTTTGTACATTGTATGGTATATAAAACAATGACAACTGTCTAATCCAGACACACAGTAAGCTTTGTACATTGTATGGTAAAACAATGACACCTTTCTAATCCAGACACACAGTAAACTTTGTACATTGTATGGTATATAAAACAATGACACCTTTCTAATCCAGACACACAGTAAGCTTTGTACATTGTATGGTATATAAAACAATGACACCTTTCTAATCCAGACACACAGTAAGCTTTGTACATTGTATGGTATATAAAACAATGACACCTTTCTAATCCAGACACACAGTAAGCTTTGTACATTGTATGGTAAAACAATGACACCTGTCTAATCCAGACACACAGTAAACTTTGTACATTGTATGGTAAAACAATGACACCTGTCTAATCCAGACATGCAGTGACCTTTGTACATTATATGGTATATGTTTCCATGTTTAGGTCAGCCTTACAACCAGCTGGCTATAGTGGAAGCGGCCTATGGGAACAAGCTTTCCACTGTGTTCTACTACATTCGCAGTCTTGCTGTCAGGCACCCCTTTCCTGTGGCTGCTACGAACCTGGAGAAACTTTACAACAAACTGGCCAAAGATCCGTAAGTCCAGTTATATGCCTTTTTGTTGATGCCTACAGAGTTTCTTTTTTACTTGTGTAACCCTGATAAAAAGTAGCTACAATATACAGGTCAACTACAATGATCTACTCTTTTTGGATGATTCATGACAGTCGCTGTAAAGCAAGTTATTTCTTGAAGGGAAAATATGTTACCCTGATGAATACAAACCACAGTATACCATTCATTTAGAGAAGTCTTTTCTTTAGCTTGATCAGTTGTAAGCCAGAATTCCCTTGTTTTGAATCTTGGTGGAGGCATGGAATAGATTCTGACCTGTGTTACACAGGTACACAGGTTTATGAGACTATTTAACATGTGTCTGTATTTAACAACCAGTTGTAGGTGTTCTGTAGGTGTTCTATTGGGGGAATTAAACTGAGGCTGTCACTGGGATGTTACTGAATTGTTACAGCAGCTAGCATGTTAATGTTTCATATAGGAGCTCATAGGATGTCCAACTTTAATACAAAGTCCACAAAACTGAGAAACATTTACTTCCTTGATTTCATAACAAATTCTTTTGGAAATCACTAGGTAAATGTTTATTTGAAGTGTTTCAATAGTTTGTCATTTATTTCAGGTGCTAGAATCAGTAATGTTTTACTTATTAGAAACAAGTATTAAACAGACGCCCATCAACTGGATCTGATACCAGCTTCTGACTTTAATCTGAAATCTGTTTCTGTCTTCACTCTGAAATCTGTCTCTGTCTTCACTCTGAAATCTGTTTCTGTCTTCACTCTGAAATCTGCTTCAGTCTTTACTCTGGAGATTCCAGATGTGAATCCCAGTGTTTATTTTTGCATCCTGCCCTTTTTTTATTCCTGTCGAACTGTAACAGATACACATTGATAATAAGTTAGTTGTCTTTTTCAAACTTAATCTGTTTTGTGACCTATATAACTATTTTTTCTACCCATCAGTTGTGAATTGAAAGGGAAGTTGTCTGTTAGTGAAATGATCACTGCTTTCCTGCAGTTCCAGGCATTCATTCACATGTGTGTAGGTAAGTTATCATTAAAATATTTATATGCTGTCTGCAGAATATTTGTTACCGATGTATTGAAGGAAGTGAGAAACTTAAGTTATAACACAAAGCTTAATGTCAGCTTAGCAAGTTTTGTTCAACTGCTGAGATGCTACAAAGTGAAAGTGTCACCTGTGGCAGGTTACTGTAGTGTGAACAATTTTACAAAGTTCTTTTTTGTTTTTGTAAACATGTTGACTTTCTGTTAGTTTTAGTGATACTGATGAAGTAAGTTCAACACATGTTGTATTTTGATACCCAGACTCAATGCACATAATGAAACATGGCTAACTTACTAAATGCTGTTTCTCCACAGAGCTTCAGAGAGCGGAACTACTGAGTGAAAAGTTAGTAGCGGCTCTCCCAGCACACGTGACATCACAGAGTTTTCCGTCTGGTATTCTAGTGCAGATCATTGCCATCAACATCTTTGCAATGCAGCATGCCCGGCGACAGTTGTCATCCGACACAGAGGACCTAAGTAATGGACACCTAGATGAAAACTTGACTGTGGATGAAGAGACATCATTTCAACTGATGTTCAAATTTACAAGTATGTTTATATGTCTAAGCTCACATCATTTTCTACTTCAGGTTTTTTACTTGATTTTAAAGGTGTAACATTGTAACTCAGCACCTTTGCTGGATCAGGCGATTATTGATAAAGCTGACTGGTTGTCAAGACAGATGTTTCCTCCTTATGGTAACCTTTTAACGTTTGTAGATGTTAAGACAGATGGTTCCTGCTCATGGTAACCTGTTTACACCTGTGTTTGTTAAGACAGATGGTCTCTCCCCACAATAACCTGTCAACACCTGTGATTGTAAAAACATATTTAGTCGTTTTTTTTCTCAAGTGATACAAAACAAATACCACTTTAAGCAGAACTTGATAAGACAGGATATAAAGAATGGTGATGATTGCTGTCAATCAATGCTGGTAGCTGGGTATTAATGCACTGTGTTACTAGAAGTAAATGCACACTATGGCTATTTTTCAGTACTGGTGCTTGATGTACTGCTGCAGTATACCCCAAAACAAGAACAGAAGCTGCGTGATTTCTTCACTTTGCCTGCCGTAAAACTTTTGTTAGACTGGTTCAAACTCAACCCAGAACACCTGTATAATCCTGTCCTGAAAACATCCAGGTAATGTACCAGTAAAGCATTATTATAGTCTGGTTAGACTTGTACCAGTAAACAAGGGCAAGGCAAGGATTTAGCCTTCACTGTACTGCCTTCTTACACCACTGTTCAGACTAGGGATCAACTAAAAAACATTATTATAGTATAGACTCGTACCAGTAAACAAGGGCAAGGCAAGGATTTAGCCTTCACTGTACTGCCTTCTTACACCACTGTTCAGACTAGGGATCAACTAAAAAGCATTATTATAGTATAGACTCGTACCAGTAAACAAGGGCAAGGCAAGGATTTAGCCTTCACTGTACTGCCTTCTTACACCACTGTTCAGACTAGGGATCAACTAAAAAGCATTATTATAGTATAGACTCGTACCAGTAAACAAGGGCAAGGCAAGGATTTAGCCTTCACTGTACTGCCTTCTTACACCACTGTTCAGACTAAGGATCAACTGTGTATATGTGTGTGTCAAGTTCAAAACCTCTCACTGTGATAGCATATGTCTTTTATGGAATGCAAAAGGCAAATGTATCCTGTCTGTTAGTTGGAGTGTTACACGAAGCATTAAGTTTATGCTCAAGAGGGATAATGGTTTAAAGGTAAAAAAAAATGGCGGTATCCAGACAGGAACTTTAGAACATCTTGTACTATACTGATAACCTCTACAATAATTAGTCTGTAAGGATATGTTTGCCACTATAATAGGAATGAAGAAGCGTTTTTGGTCATCTGACATAAAGTCCTCTCTGAGTGGCCACAATGGATCCCAAATTTAAAGTTTTTAGAGTTGCATGAGATTGGTTAAGGGGTACTCCATTATAACTTCTATCTCGCCCCAGTAACCTAGTTTTGGTTTAGGGGTACCACCCATGGAATTTACATGTAATTTATAATTTTCTTAGAAGTTATAGACAGAAAAATGTAATCATTGATAGAAGTGATTTATTTTGTGAGTTTCTGGTCAAGATCTTTTAGAAGGAAAACCTTAAGTAGGGTGACTTTTTACATGCCTGCTCATCATTCCTTAAGTGGGGCATGCTACTTTCATGACACAGCACAACAAAAGAGTTAAATCACTGCTGACCTTTAAGACCAGATTTATTGACCTTGTTTAAACTCTACTGACCACTAAGCCCTGTATTATTGACCTCTTGCTTAAAACTGATTTTAATATATGTTGTGTTTATTTCCAGTTTATGGGTGAACTTATGTAAAGTTCTGAACAACATCCGGCCACCATCGGCTCCCAAGGATGGCAAACATGACATCGGTAAATGTGAGTACAGAACTTTAATGCACTTTGTTAATATTTAGTTAGCTTCATCCAAAATTGTAAAATGTAGATACAGTCTTTGTTTAAGTTGATCATTAGCCCTGCTAACTTTAGGGCTAGGTGACCTTAAATGCTGTAGCTTGTTGTCTACCTTATATCAGTTGTCCAGCTGTCGTCCATCAACTTTCCTTTAAAGAATTTCTTTTGGAGAACAAATTAATCTCTTTCGGATTAATAAAAAAATCTGTAGGAGTTTTTGATAAGGAAATGGTACAGTTTGTTACTTGTAGTATTGTGTCTTGTGATGAAACTTATCTATTCAAAATTTGAAAGTGATGTAATTAATCGACAGAAGTCTTCCATAAAAGGAGTTGTTAGTCATAGACGAAATAATGTTTAGCCTTGAGTATAAAATTGCTTGGTTTTAAAGTTGTTTTAAAAGATTAAAATTTTTTGAAGTTTAAAAGAATTTATTGTATAGCTATCGTCAAGGTAAATGATAAGATATGCAGTCCCTTTGTGCCTCTTGTTGTGAGACCCAGCAGTAAAAACCGTTAGCAGTTTGTATCATAGAAAGACAATGATTGATCTGCTTATTTTTGAAATTAGTTAATTCTCTTCAATTCAATTCTTTCCATTTTGTTCAGACGAAGATTTGCCCCTTACTGAGGATGCAGAACTTCGATGTTTTCAGCCACTGGAAAAGGCTCACAGGTATTTCATCTTTAACTTTATGAGTGTTCTACAGGAAGTAGTGAAAACTTTGTTGGAATTTGTCCATTTGATTTATACTACCAAAACAAATCAAACAAACTCATGTATAAGAAAGGGAATGAAAAGAGAAAAAAAATGGATATGTTGATGCACTTTTTTTAGCTAAAGGGTTCAAAAATGTTGAATAGGAAATATTCATTCTCACAAAGTATTTAACTTTTATTCATAAGAAGCATTCTTCTCCAGTTTTGGGGCGATTTTTTTTATTTCCTGAAAAAAACTATTCTTCATTAAACTTTTACAGCATGTTACTAGGATGAAAAGGAAAAAAAAACTTCAATTTCAATTGGTTTTATTTGGAAAATGACCCAAATCTAATATCTGACACAATTTCAAATTTTAGAGAAATATTCCAGGATACTTTTAATTATTAAAAAAAGGAGATTGCTCTCTTAATTTTTTAAATTTTCACCTAAAAAACTATTTTCCGTGATAAAAAATCAAACTGAAATATTTAAAGCTGGGATCTAAAATTCTGAAAATCAGGTTCAAAATACATTATGTATCAAATCTGTGATTTGTGATGATGTTCATGCATAATTTTATCAATATCTACTCAAGGCTTCTAGAGCAACACGATAAGTACCTTAGCAACAGAAAAAACATGAATTGTTGACATTATTAAATGTTACTGAATCAATGTCAACTAAACAGTGGACAAAATGTTATATTAGGAACTCCCAATTTAACTCATAAAAAGCTTGACTTGCAAACATCCTTAACAGATCCTTAGGGACTTGAAAATCAAATACTGTATTCTCAGATTTATAAGTAGCACAGAGCCAATTGTAAACAATGACAATGCCTGGGTTATCTGTGATTAGGGGATAACACCTGGTATGAATGATTCAAGATCATCTCTTTTCTTTGTGACCATATTCCTTTAGAAATGAAATTGAAAATAAACCTTTATTTTATGTAGTTTACAAGTTCTGCAATCAATATACCACCCCGGTAAGCTCTTTAGCTGGATTATCAAGACACTGCTAAGGAAAAAATGTTGTTTTGGGTGTTGGAGAATTTCCATGGGGAAAACCAACATGTCATTGTTTTGGAAACAAATTCAACAGACATCTAACTCATTTTTTTGAAAAGTGGTCTGAAGTGCACACTTGATTACCCAAATCACGACAGTCATACTGTCAGTACATTAGCGATCATGGCTACTGAGGTACCCAAGAACATTGTGATTAAATCCTATACTTGTTTACACTGAAACCCTTCTTAGCAGTTATGTGACTGCAAACATCTCTGCTGCTAGGTTTTGATTTTGTAAAGAGAGCTTTTTAACGGTAAAAATAATTATCATGAATATTATGATGAATATCTGAAATAGAAGATAAACATAGCAGATCGTGATATAAATCCTATTTCTCTGCTTGGAAGATGGATTGTCATGTTTCTATAAATTAATGTATGGGTAGCAGTTAAGACATTCCCTGAGTAAGAAATCTTAAAGTCACTTACACCTGTCGGGGTAATTCTGACAAAAAAAACCTCCTAAAGGTTACTGTATTCCTATACCACTCCATACTCCTCTCAACTCATTTGTCATGATTGTAGAGCTAATTAGTGTTATGTACCAGGTCTAACATACCTTGTGAAACGATTGTACAGCTAATTAGTGTTATGTACCAGGTCTAACATACCTTGTGAAACGATTGTACAGCTAATTAGTGTTATGTACCAGGTCTAACATACCTTGTGAAACGATTGTACAGCTAATTAGTGTTATGTACCAGGTCTAACATACCTTGTGAAACGATTGTAGAGCTAATTAGTGTTATGTACCAGGTCTAACATACCTTGTGAAACGATTGTAGAGCTAATTAGTGTTATGTACCAGGTCTAACATACCTTGTGAAACGATTGTACAGCTAATTAGTGTTATGTACCAGGTCTAACATACCTTGTGAAACGATTGTAGAGCTAATTAGTGTTATGTACCAGGTCTAACATACCTTGTGAAACTTGATGGTGTTTTTTTGCAGTGGGTTTAGCTTTAGTCGAGTGCCAAGCGAAGGCTTACCGTCGGAAGTGGAGTCTCAGCTACGCTGTCGCCGACTGCTAGCTCATGGACATTGGATTGCAGAGGAATATCCAGGGTATGTAGCAATATGTATGGATTTGGTGATGTGGGTAAATTGGAGGTTACTTGGATGTGGGAATATTGTGGGTTACTTGGATGTGGGAATATTGTGGGTAACTTTGATGTGGGTATATTGTGAGTTATTTGGATGTGAGTATATTCTGGGTTACTGAGATATGGGGATATTGTGGGTTACCTAGGTTTTGGGATGTAGTGGTTAACTTGGGTGGGGATATTGTGGTTTACATGGGTGGGGATATTGTGGTTTACTTGGGTGGGGATGTTGTGGTTTACTTGGGTGGGGATGTTGTGGTTTACTTGGGTGGGGATGTTGTGGTTTACTTGGGTGGGGATGTTGTGGTTTACTTGGGTGGGGATGTTGTGGTTTACATTGGTGAGGATGTTGTGGTTTACTTGGGTGGGGATGTTGTGGTTTACATGGGTGGGGATATTGTGGTTTACTTGGGTGGGGATATTGTGGTTTACTTGGGTGATGATATTGTGGTTAACGTGGGTGGGGATGTTGTGGTTTACTTGGGTGGGGATGTTGTGGTTTACTTGGGTGGGGATGTTGTGGTTTACTTGGGTGGGGATGTTGTGGTTTACATTGGTGAGGATGTTGTGGTTTACTTGGGTGGGGATGTTGTGGTTTACATGGGTGGGGATATTGTGGTTTACTTGGGTGGGGATGTTGTGGTTTACTTGGATGGGGATGTTGTGGTTTACTTGGGTGGGGATGTTGTGGTTTACTTGGGTGGGGATGTTGTGGTTTACTTGGATGGGGATGTTGTGGTTTACTTGGGTGGGGATGTTGTGGGTTACTTGGATGGGGATGTTGTGGTTTACTTGGGTGGGGATGGTGTGGTTTACTTGGGTGGGGATATTGTGGTTTACTTGGATGGGATGTTGTGGGTTACTTTGGATGGGGATGTTGTGGTTTACTTGGGTGTGAATGTTGTGGTTTACTTGGGTGTGGATTTTGTGGTTTACTTGGGTGGGGATGTTGTAGTTTACATGGGTGGGGATGTTGTGGTTTACATTGGTGAGGATGTTGTGGTTTACTTGGGTGGGGATGTGGTTTACTTGGATGGGGATATTGTGGGTTTACTTGGGTGGGGATGTTGTGGTTTACTTGGGTGGGGATGTTGTGGGTTACTTGGATGGGGATGTTGTGGTTTATTTGGGTGGGGATGTTGTGGTTTACTTGGGTGGGGATGTTGTGGTTTACTTGGGTGGGGATGTTGTAGTTTACATGGATGGGGATGTTGTGGTTTACTTTGGTGGGAATGTTGTGGTTTACTTGGGTGGGGATGTTGTGGTTTACTTGGGTGTGAATGTTGTGGTTTACTTGGGTGGGGATGTTGTGGGTTACTTGGATGGGGATGTTGTGGTTTACTTGGGTGGAGATGGTGTGGTTTACTTGGGTGGGGATATTGTGGTTTACTTGGGTGGGGATATTGTGGTTTACTTGGATGGGGATATTGAGGGTTTACTTGGGTGGGGATGTTGTGGTTTACTTGGGTGGGGATGTTGTGGGTTACTTGGATGGGGATGTTGTGGTTTATTTTAGTGGGGATGTTGTGGTTTACTTGGGTGGGGATGTTGTGGTTTACTTGGGTGGGGATGTGGTTTACTTGGATGGGGATATTGTGGGTTTACTTGGGTGGGGATGTTGTGGTTTACTTGGGTGGGGATGTTGTGGGTTACTTGGATGGGGATGTTGTGGTTTATTTTAGTGGGGATGTTGTGGTTTACTTGGGTGGGGATGTTGTGGTTTACTTGGGTGGGGATGTTGTGGGTTACTTGGATGGGGATGTTGTGGTTTACTTGGGTGGGGATGGTGTGGTTTACTTGGGTGGGGATATTGTGGTTTACTTGGGTGGGGATATTGTGGTTTACTTGGATGGGATGTTGTGGGTTACTTTGGATGGGGATGTTGTGGTTTACTTGGGTGTGAATGTTGTGGTTTACTTGGGTGTGTATGTTGTGGTTTACTTGGGTGGGGATGTTGTGGGTTACTTGGGTGGGGATGTGGTTTACTTGGATGGGGATATTGTGGGTTTACTTGGATGGGGATGTTGTGGTTTACTTGGGTGGGGATGGTGTGGTTTACTTGGGTGGGGATATTGTGGTTTACTTGGGTGGGGATATTGTGGTTTACTTGGGTGGGGATGTTGTGGTTTACTTGGGTGTGGATGTTGTGGTTTACTTGGGTGGGGATGTTGTGGTTTACTTGGATGGGGATGTTGTGGTTTACTTGGGTGTGGATGTTGTGGTTTACTTGGGTGGGGATATTGTGGTTTACTTGGGTGGGGATGTTGTGGTTTACTTGGGTGGGGATGTTGTGGTTTACTTGGGTGGGGATGTTGTGGTTTACTTGGGTGGGGATGTTGTGGGTTACTTGGGTGGGGTTATTGTGGTTTACTTAGGTGGGGATGTTGTGGTTTACTTGGGTGGGGATGTTGTGGTTTATTTGGGTGGGGATATTGTGGGTTACTTGGGTGGGGATATTGTGGTTTACTTGGGTGGGGATATTGTGGGTTACTTGGGTGGGGATGTTGTGGGTTACTTGGGTGGGGATATTGTGGTTTACTTGGGTGGGGATATTGTGGTTTACTTGGGTGGGGATATTGTGGTTTATTTGGGTGGGGATATTGTGGTTTACTTGGGTGGGGATATTGTGGTTTACTTGGGTGGGGATATTTGGGTGGGGATATTGTGGTTTACTTGGGTGGGGACTTGGGTGGGGATATTGTATTGTTTACTTGGGTGGGGATATTGTGGTTTACTTGGGTGGGGATATTGTGGATGTTGTGTGGTTTACTTGGGTGGGGATGTTGGGTGTGGGGATATTGTGGTTTACTTGGGTGGGGATATTGTGGGTTACTTGGGTGGGGATATTGTGGTTTACTTGGGTGGGGATGTTGTGAGTTTCTTGGGTGTGGATGTTGTGGGTTACTTGGGTGGGGATGTTATGGGTTACTTGGATGGGGATGTTGTGGGTTACTTGGTCGGGGATGTTGTGGGTTATCTGGATTTTCATTTTCTGAAAGCTCTCTATGAAAGCCCTTTCCACACAATAACATATAAGTATACACAGACAAATTAATCAAAGGACCTAGAGTATGGGCTAAAACTGAGGGAATATAGTTTTAAATCAATAAATAAACAAACATTTGCAAGGAGGAGAAAAAAAACCAACCAACATGTTTCATTAATAAGTGATAATTATTATTAATGGTTAATGTGCAAACATTTAATTAACAATTGTGTCAAGATGGAATCTAAATATCCCTTTAACTGGAGACAAGCACAGACCCAAATGTCCATACACTTTTACAAGTGTTTGCCAAATCCATATGATTGACAAGCAGCCCAAATCCTGAGAATATTTGTAGATTGAATGAGTGCAAAATCAAATTCACTGAAAAGAACCTTTCTGTATTGGTAATGAATCTTAATTCACACAAGAACTGTTTTATTCCTGTCTGTATCAAGTGTATACGAAATTTAGAGTATCTAGAGGTATAGAATCATTTAGAGCAGGAAGGAAGGTTAGGAAGAGTGAGAGGAGGTGTTATGAGGACAACTTAGTATTTACTTAATTGGAAGTAAACAATTCTGAATTTGAATTACAAGCAGTATCTCCTAGTTGACATAGAATTATATCTACCTTTTTGTTTCAACAATATTTAAAAAAAAAACCAATGTATTGATGGTGTACATCAGTAACTTTTTAATAGCACTTATGGATGTCATTGTTTCCATTCTGATAAGTTTGAAAAAAAAAAAAAAAACAATTGGTGTTATATTGATGAGTTTTCCCTAGACTTATATCAAAGGGTCTATTTTGTAAACAAGAAAATTATCAGTATTATTATTGATAAATTGTTGGATTAATCAATTACATGAGGACATCTGTTGTTTAAAATCTTTAAAAAGAATGGATGTTCTGTTGTGTCATTGTTTAAATTTGTGGAATTAAGCCATACTTGTTATGAAGGATATTGTGACTTGTGTCCCACCTGAAACCTCTTATTATGTGTAATGCCTCCATTATGTATGACTCCCAAGATGTTACATTGGCTTTAGGTACTGTTTGCCCAGAAGATATCAACGTTTTCTAAAATAGGATAAATGGATGTTATATATATTAACTCAGGTGACTTTCTGTCATTTTTATATTTCAAAATTTCGATTGTATTTACAGTCTGACCTGTATTAAACGGCCACTGTGGGGAAATTATGAAAGTGGCCTTTATAGAGAGGTGGCCTCTTAATTGAGGTTCCTTATTTTCGAACCCAAGTTGCGGCAATTTGTACATTGATATTTGAATACAGTTTAATAATCAGGATTGTCACCGTCTTCCTGTACTTAGGAGTTTGTGGTTTGGTCTGAGTTCTTTTACTGCTCAAAGGGTGGCCACGTTAGACAGGTGGCCGTTAAATTAGGTATCATTAATTAGCAAAAACGATTGGGAGGGTCTGAAAACGGCCGTTATAAGAAGGTGGCCATCAAATTAAGGTGGCCGTTTACATGGTTAGACCAATCAGCTTGACTGTTTAAAATTAAACCAAGTTGTTTGTGACTAGTAACATCTCTAATGAAGTTGTTAATGTACAGCTCAGGATGTTATATGTCAGAATCAATCTGCCTTCAATAGAGTAGTAATCTAGTCTATTCAGGACTAAAAATATTAACATCTTCTGCTAAATGCAAGAATTTATTTTCTTTTTATTGTATAAAGTCTAATGAAAAATCAAATTTACTGAAAACAGATATCTGATACCAGTGTTGAGTCTCTGCATTAACATATAAACAGATTCTATTGATATTTGCATCAAGTGTATAAAAGTCTTAGAGAAATGTTGGAGTATTTATAGAATGATTTGGAGTAGAGAGGGAGTTAAGGAGTAGTCTGTGGATAGTGAAAAGAGGCCATTGGAGGAAGACATGGCCATCCTCTACAGGATGACTAGTGTTACAGGCAGGGCTATTGGTTAGGTGGGAATTCAAAGTCATCCACTGTCATCGTATCAGCTGTATCTTGTCTGTTTCCATCAATCATACCGTATAGGGATGTGTCATCAGCAAATACCTTCCGTTACAATGTTAATCTTTACCAGTATCATTGATATATGATGAAAACAGATTTGGGTTTTGAACTTTATCTTCAGGTGCCTCTGCCTGTAATATTTTCTAGTTGGATTTGTATCCATCTTTCATAACTCTCTGCCTGCTATCTGATAGGTAAGATGAAAAACTACTCATATATTATTCCTGATCAGATTTTGTATCATTAAGAGCAAAAACAGAAGAGAAAAGAGAAAAAAAGGGAAAAGATCCGACTTTTAAAGAAAAAATGAAGATCAAACAATGTTTGGTGCCAAAATCCCTCTGGGATCTCTTGATTTATAAAAACATTTTGAAACACTTGTAGATTATATTCTGATGTCACTTTGGAAACACCAAAAATGGATCCAAAATGGCGCAACCTCATTTCAACAAGTTTTATTTATAGATTTAAAAGGCATTAGACAACAGCAAATATTGGTCTTCTGTAAAGGTGATTTAGAGGAGATGGGACTCTCCATCTTGATTGAAAAATCCATTCTCTGTAATATTTGTTTAATATTTTGGATTATCATAATGTTTTATGCACATGTTACAGATAAATGTGTTATCCTTAACTAACCTCTACCTAGCCATGTAAAACTAGAATTATAGTGATACATAACATTACTTCGGAATTCTGTGGTTGTGACTTTTTTTATCTGTATAATTTGTAGAATGAATTAAGATCTAACATGTGTGGTATCTGATACATATTAGTATGTTGTTAAACTGAAGGCCTAAACATCATGACCGTACTAACGTCACTGGTATCTCATTAATGTCTACACTGCATTGAAGAGCTTCTTTGTTCCCAGTCGTATGTCCTCACAAAAATCAAGGTTGCTTTTATAATAGGTGTTGTTGTTTCCTTATTGATCTACACACCTGGTGTTGTCTTGATGTGAGGGCTATCAACCTATTGATTTTACTGTGAAACCAGCTGTCTTTTGTCTAATATCTTGACTCCAATGTCATAATTAATTAAATTCTTTATTTAGAATTCAATTGAAGTAATATTCAAGGTGAACCTCTACAGATCTGCTGACAAATACCTGCCAATATACTGGCGAGGTAGATGAGTATCTTTGTAGTACAGTAACAGCTGGAATCCAATTTGATAAGTCACATCATTGGAAAATATGTAAAGACCTGTAATGTGTGACGTTAATATTTCATCACAAGTTGTGAAAAATAGATAAAATAAAGAAAAACCAGACAACTATTTCATCATAATTTTGTTTTTCAGAATGGTTTTAATTATTTCATGTCAATTCTTCAATCTCTTTTTATCAGATTGAACCTCATGAATATTCAAGCTAATAGAATAGGAAAAGTGCAGTTCACAGCTCCATCAGCACCGGTCAAGGTCGTTACTGCTCCATCAGCCCCGGTCAAGGTCGTTACTGCTCCATCAGCCCCGGTCAAGGTCGTTACGGCTCCATCTGCCCCGGTCAAGGTCGTCACTGCTCCTTCAAAGGTTATTGGTACAACATCTGCACCAGTGAAGGTCATGTCACCGTCTGTGCTTGTAAAGACTGGAACGACAGGTAAAAAATCCTTTCATAAGATGAAGTTTGGAAGCTTTGATGTTGAAAAGCTATGCAGTTTTAAAGTCATGAAGTTGTGACAGTCAGATTTTAGAGTGTACAAAACTGAAATCAGGACAGTCAAATTATGGGGTGTACAATACAGAAATCAGGACAGTCAAATTATAATGTGTACAATACAGAAATCAGGACAGTCAAATTATAATGTGTACAATACAGAAATCAGGACAGTCAAATTATAGGGTGTACAATACAGAAATCAGGACAGTCAAATTATAATGTGTACAATACAGAAATCAGGACAGTCAAATTATAATGTGTACAATACAGAAATCAGGACAGTCAAATTATAATGTGTACAATACAGAAATCAGGACAGTCAAATTATAATGTGTACAATACAGAAATCAGGACAGTCAAATTATAATGTGTACAATACAGAAATCAGGACAGTCAAATTATAATGTGTACAATACAGAAATCAGGACAGTCAAATTATAATGTGTACAATACAGAAATCAGGACAGTCAAATTATAATGTGTACAATACAGAAATCAGGACAGTCAAATTATAATGTGTACAATACAGAAATCAGGACAGTCAAATTATAATGTGTACAATACAGAAATCAGGACAGTCAAATTATAATGTGTACAATACAGAAATCAGGACAGTCAAATTATAATGTGTACAATACAGAAATCAGGACAGTCAAATTATAATGTGTACAATACAGAAATCAGGACAGTCAAATTATAATGTGTACAATACAGAAATCAGGACAGTCAAATTATAATGTGTACAATACAGAAATCAGGACAGTCAAATTATAATGTGTACAATACAGAAATCAGGACAGTCAAAATATAATGTGTACAATACAGAAATCAGGACAGTCAAATTATAATGTGTACAATACAGAAATCAGGACAGTCAAATTATAATGTGTACAATACAGAAATCAGGACAGTCAAATTATAATGTGTACAATACAGAAATCAGGACAGTCAAATTATAATGTGTACAATACAGAAATCAGGACAGTCAAATTATAATGTGTACAATACAGAAATCAGGACAGTCAAATTATAATGTGTACAATACAGAAATCAGGACAGTCAAATTATAATGTGTACAATACAGAAATCAGGACAGTCAAATTATAATGTGTACAATACAGAAATCAGGACAGTCAAAATATAATGTGTACAATACAGAAATCAGGACAGTCAAATTATAATGTGTACAATACAGAAATCAGGACAGTCAAATTATAGGGTGTACAATACAGAAATCAGGACAGTCAAATTATAGGGTGTACAATACAGAAATCAGGACAGTCAAATTATCATGTGTACAATACAGAAATCAAGGTAAAGCTTTTAAAGAGTAGATTGATAAACACTAAATAATGTTGATTAACTATGGTAAATTGGGGGCAGAGGACCGTAGGTTACTTTCTCTGTCTGTAGAAAGATCTCCTTAAGGCATGATGGCAATATCATCAGTAAAAATTTAACAAAGAATGAAATTATTGTAGTGATGAAAATATCCTGTATACATGTTGATAGGTTAATTCGTGATAATGCAAATTTCTCTAATTACTTTTTTTCTGCTGCTTTTCCAACATTCCAATTATTTGATTTGATTATAGTGTCGTCTTTATTTCCAGCTGCTGAATCACAAACATTTCAATCTAGTCCAGAGAGAAAGCCTGTTCGACAAAATGTTGCTATACAGGTAAGATTTCATTGGTGCAAGTTATACTTTGTACATACAAATAAATTGTCATGGTGTCACTCTACATGTAGTTAGTCCTGTAGAGAATTATAGTGATGTAGCACTGTTGTCCTAACTCTACCAGTGATGTAGCACTGTTGTCCTAACTCTACCAGTGATGTAGCATTGTTGTCCTAACTCTACCAGTGATGTAGCACTGTTGTCCTAACTCTACCAGTGATGTAGCATTGTTGTCCTAACTCTACCAGTGATGAAGCACTGTTGTCCTAACTCTACCGGTGATGTAGCACTGTTGTCCTAACTCTACCAGTGATGAAGCACTGTTGTCCTAACTCTACCAGTGATGTAGCATTGTTGTCCTAACTCTACCAGTGATGAAGCACTGTTGTCCTAACTCTACCAGTGATGTAGCACTGTTGTCCTAACTCTACCAGTGATGAAGCACTGTTGTCCTAACTCTACCAGTGATGTAGCACTGTTGTCCTAACTCTACCAGTGATGTAGCATTGTTGTCCTAACTCTACCAGTGATGTTGTATTGTTGTTTTCAGTTTTTCAGTGATAAGCACTGAAGTTCTAACACTACAACTAATTAGGTATTGCTGTCTGGAATTACTCTCCGATTAAACAGTCCTTTTAACAAACTCTTTATCAGAAAAGCAACACTATCAGAACTTGTATGTTATTTTCAAGACTGTAACAATATACTGCGGAATCAGATATTTTCATGGAGTTAAATCATTATTGTGTGGATACTTACTACAGTGAATGAAAATTGTTAAATAAAATGAATTATACTGATAGTTGGAGGACATAAGAATTTATAGATTGAGAGTTTATACAAAATTGACTTCCATTGTGAGTATACAATAGCTGTAATAATAAAAATAATTTGGCTGTTTGAACAGGCCATTATTCAGAAGCAGAGCCAGACCAGTAAAGACCAAAGCGGTGGGGAGAAAGTGGTGACAAAGATACAACAGCCTGCAGATAAGGTAGAACCTAGAGAGAAATTTCTAACAAGACAATGAAACCAAGGTTTCAAAATCATCCAGTAATTTACTGGGGCAATGAGTTTGTTTCTTTATAAATCAATTGTCTATCATTTTCTCTTTAATTAAACACTCATAAGTGTATTGTTACAAGTGCTAACAGGATAAAGTCTTGTCAATTATATATATTAAGGGAAATATGTGGAGTCTGAAAAATGTACCTCATTGATAACTAAAAAATAAATTCTCCCAATTGTACCTCATTAATAAGTAAAAAATAACTTCTCCCAACTGTACCTCATTAATAACTAAAAAATAACTTCTCCCAACTGTACCTCATTAATAACTAAAAAATAACTTCTCCCAACTGTACCTCATTAATAACTAAAAAATGACCTCTCCCAACTGTACCTCATTAATAACTAAAAAATAACTGCTCCCAAATGTACCTCATTAATAATTAAAAAATAACTCTTCCCAAAATATCATGTGACTTACAGTGTTAAGGAAACTAACAACACTTAAACTAAAAATACTATACATTTCAATTTCTGGAATGTAAAAATGTTAATCTCTTTGTATCTTAAGGTGAAGGCTGTAGAGAGTGTTGGTGGCAAGTTGTGCTCCCCCAAGTATATACTAGGGGTTCCAACCAGTGAACCACTGTTTATGAAACCCAGTGGAGGCCGGCCATCTACTGGGGGCCCAACAGGAACAGGGAGACCCCCTACACAGACACCACCTCGTCTACAGAAACAACATCAGCTACAACTTGCTCAGCAGCAGATGCAGACTCATTTAGAGGAGGAAGAAGAAATGGATGAGGAGGAAAAAATGTCATGGCAACCCTTACCTGAACACCAGAAGACTTCCCAGGAACAAACAGGCAAGCAAACTAAGGTCGGTTGGCAACTGACCTCTCAGCAATCTGCAATGGAAGCCTCACCTCAGCTGCTGACCACACAACAGACAGCTGGATATCCACTGGTACAGACAGATTCACAGTTTTCTCCAAACACACCAGCAGTGTCACCAGGACAACAGGCGGTGTCGCCTCTCCAGCATCCAAGGATGGCATCACCTCACCCTGCCCAGTCCCCCAAACCTGTCATGATTCTTCAGCCAGACTTCAGGTGAGCTGCTCTATCATAATTCATAACCTACTGGAATCTTGGAGTTTTCTCTACTTTTAGAATGATTGATAGAAAAGAAGTAAAGAAACACTGACACATAACCATGGAAATTAATGAATTAATTAAAGAATTCATGAAAAGTCTGCTGACTTTTGTGATAAATTTTTTATATTTACTTTGCAGTAAGCATATGGCAAAGCCTTGGTTAGGCAGGACTTTATTATCTTTTATGTATTCTCAATTATTTCAGGTCTTCACCTCGGAAGCCTGTCAACCCACAACAGGAGGATCGTCAGCAACAGCTGCAACAGCCACAGCAACAGAATCATTCAACATCCTCCCCATCCAGTGAATTTGACATAATGGGTTACACCCAACACATTGCCAGTCAGGAGGGAGGACCTGTTCGAGGAGGGAGTTATGATCCTAGCATGGTTTATAGGACGTCAGGACCTGGCCAACCCAATACTTTTCAGCAAGACCGTTCCTCACTCCAGGGACAAATTCAAGGTCAAGGTCATGATGGAGCAAGTGAGAATATGGATGTGCGAGTCTCACAGCACCAGAGACATACAAGATCACATCCTGCTGGAATTATAGATCCAAACATGCCCTATGTAAATTCCCCTTCTGGAGCCTCAATGACAGGTGATCAAGGAAACAATGCAAGGCCTCCTTCTCAGCAGGGAAGTCAAGTGGGTAACCAATTTTCCCGAAGTCATCCTCCACCGAATATGAATATGTACTATGGGCAACAGAGCAACATACAGAGGCCAGTACAGGGTAGTCACATGAATCCTACTTCTGGCTCTGGTGCTGACCGTATTCCTGGAGCAGGAGGACCACCCAAGATAAACCATATAAACTACTCTTCTAGTCCTGGTGCCGACCATGTGCCTCAAGGAGGGGGTCAAGAGATTGGAGTTAGTGGAATGGATAACATGGGAGGAGGGCAGGCTTTTCAAGGCCAATCAAATCGGTCGTTAATCCCAGGTCCAATAGCCACACATCCACAGCAACATAGACCACCACCCCAGCAAAATCATCTTCAGCCTGGTCCGTCATCTCAAAAGAGTCAGCCATTGAGAGGACCTTTACAACCTCAGCTGAGGGGGCCACCTCCACCGCAGAATCAGCAACAACGTGGGCCACCTCCACAGCACAATCAACAACAACGTGGCCCGCCTACTCAACAGAATCAGCAACAACGTGGACCGCCTCCACAACACAACCAGCAACAACGAGGGCCGCCTCCACAACACAACCAGCAACAACGAGGGCCACCTCCACAACACAACCAGCAACAACGAGGGCCCCCTCCTCAACACAACCAGCAACAACGAGGGCCCCCTCCTCAACACACTCAACAAATGAGAGGGCATCTTCTACCGACACATCCATCCCATAGTCAAAGTTCTGCTAATATCCAGGGTCAACCCCACCCATCTCATCCTCAGCCCCAGCAGCCCCATCCTCAATCCCACTCTCATCCCCACCAGCCCCACCCTCATCAGCAAACTCAGCAAGGTGTCAACCCATCATACCAGGGGCCGATGTTTAATCCTATTAACTTCTTAGCAGGAATCAGTCGCTTTAACCTTGGTAATCAAAACTTCGGCAACATGGAAGGACTAGACCTGATGAGACAAAATCTAAAGAAAGAGGATCTCCCTCCCAATGCTGCTGATATCCTTGGGGCCCTGTCACTACTGGCTGTACAGGTGAGTGTTACCATGTTTTCTGTACAGATAGTATCAAAGCTGCTATGTGACTGATGGTAGAAAGCACATGGTCAAGAAGAATTGTATAGGAATAAACACTGTTTTCTTCTATGATATAATTTAGTTCAGGTTGGTGCAATCTTGTCTTCAGCAGTACAGATTTAAAGTATAACTAGACAGTGGGAACTCTGTGTATATGTGTACAGGAATGGAAGGCCTGTATACATGTGTACAGAGATGGAAGGTCTGTATACATGTGTACAGAGATGGAAGGCCTGTATACATGTGTACAGAGGTGTACAGAGATGGAAGGCCTGTATACATGTGTACAGAGATGGAAGGTCTGTATACATGTGTACAGAGATGGAAGGTCTGTATACATGTGTACAGAGATGGAAGGCCTGTATACATGTGTACAGAGATGGAAGGTCTGTATACATGTGTACAGAGATGGAAGGTCTGTATACATGTGTACAGAGATGGAAGGCCTGTATACATGTGTACAGAGATGGAAGGCCTGTATACATGTGTACAGAGATGGAAGGTCTGTATACATGTGTACAGAGATGGAAGGTCTGTATACATGTGTACAGAGATGGAAGGCCTGTATACATGTGTACAGAGGTGTACAGAGATGGAAGGGTATACATGTGTACAGAGATGGAAGGTCTGTATACATGTGTACAGAGGTGTACAGAGATGGAAGGCCTGTATACATGTGTACAGAGATGGAAGGTCTGTATATATGTGTACAGAGATGGAAGGTCTGTATACATGTGTACAGAGATGGAAGGTCTGTATACATGTGTACAGAGGTGTACAGAGATGGAAGGTCTGTATACATGTGTACAGAGATGGAAGGTCTGTATACATGTGTACAGAGGTGTACAGAGATGGAAGGCCTGTATACATGTGTACAGAGATGGAAGGCCTGTATACATGTGTACAGAGGTGTACAGAGATGGAAGGCCTGTATACATGTGTACAGAGATGGAAGGTCTGTATACATGTGTACAGAGATGGAAGGTCTGTATACATGTGTACAGAGATGGAAGGCCTGTATACATGTGTACAGAGATGGAAGGTCTGTATACATGTGTACAGAGATGGAAGGTCTGTATACATGTGTACAGAGATGGAAGGCCTGTATACATGTGTACAGAGATGGAAGGCCTGTATACATGTGTACAGAGATGGAAGGCCTGTATACATGTGTACAGAGATGGAAGGTCTGTATACATGTGTACAGAGATGGAAGGTCTGTATACATGTGTACAGAGATGGAAGGCCTGTATACATGTGTACAGAGGTGTACAGAGATGGAAGGCCTGTATACATGTGTACAGAGATGGAAGGCCTGTATACATGTGTACAGAGATGGAAGGTCTGTATACATGTGTACAGAGGTGTACAGAGATGGAAGGCCTGTATACATGTGTACAGAGATGGAAGGTCTGTATATATGTGTACAGAGATGGAAGGTCTGTATACATGTGTACAGAGATGGAAGGTCTGTATACATGTGTACAGAGGTGTACAGAGATGGAAGGTCTGTATACATGTGTACAGAGATGGAAGGTCTGTATACATGTGTACAGAGGTGTACAGAGATGGAAGGCCTGTATACATGTGTACAGAGATGGAAGGTCTGTATACATGTGTACAGAGGTGTACAGAGATGGAAGGCCTGTATACATGTGTACAGAGATGGAAGGTCTGTATATATGTGTACAGAGATGGAAGGTCTGTATACATGTGTACAGAGATGGAAGGTCTGTATACATGTGTACAGAGATGGAGGGTCTGTATACATGTGTACAGAGATGGAAGGCCTGTATACATGTGTACAGAGATGGAAGGTCTGTATACATGTGTACAGAGGTGTACAGAGATGGAAGTTCTGTATACATGTGTACAGAGATGGAAGGCCTGTATACATGTGTACAGAGGTGTACAGAGATGGAAGGTCTGTATATATGTGTACAGAGATGGAAGGCCTGTATACATGTGTACAGAGATGGAAGGTCTGTATACATGTGTACAGAGATGGAAGGCCTGTATACATGTGTACAGAGATGGAAGGCCTGTATACATGTGTACAGAGATGGAAGGTCTGTATACATGTGTACAGAGATGGAAGGTCTGTATACATGTGTACAGAGATGGAAGGCCTGTATACATGTGTACAGAGGTGTACAGAGATGGAAGGCCTGTATATATGTGTACAGAGATGGAAGGTCTGTATACATGTGTACAGAGATGGAAGGTCTGTATACATGTGTACAGAGATGGAAGGTCTGTATGTATGTGTACAGAGATGGAAGGTCTGTATACATGTGTACAGAGATGGAAGGCCTTTACATAGGTGTACAGAGATGGAAGGCCTGTATACACGTGTACAGAGATGGAAGGTCTGTATATATGTGTACAGAGGTGTACAGAGATGGAAGGCCTGTATATATGTGTACAGAGATGGAAGGTCTGTATGTATGTGTACAGAGATGGAAGGCCTGTATATATGTGTACAGAGATGGAAGGTCTGTATACAGGTGTACAGAGGTGTACAGAGATGGAAGGCCTGTATACATGTGTACAGAGATGGAAGGCCTATATACATGTGTACAGAGATGGAAGGTCTGTATGTATGTGTACAGAGATGGAAGGCCTGTATACATGTGTACAGAGATGGAAGGCCTGTATACATGTGTACAGAGATGGAAGGCCTTTACAGAGGTGTACAGAGATGGAAGGCCTGTATACACGTGTACAGAGATGGAAGGTCTGTATACATGTGTACAGAGATGGAAGGTCTGTATACATGTGTACAGAGATGGAAGGCCTGTATACATGTGTACAGAGATGGAAGGCCTGTATACATGTGTACAGAGATGGAAGGCCTGTATACATGTGTACAGAGGTGTACAGAGATGGAAGGCCTGTATATATGTGTACAGAGATGGAAGGTCTGTATACATGTGTACAGAGATGGAAGGTCTGTATACATGTGTACAGAGATGGAAGGTCTGTATGTATGTGTACAGAGATGGAAGGTCTGTATACATGTGTACAGAGATGGAAGGCCTTTACATAGGTTTACAGAGATGGAAGGCCTGTATACACGTGTACAGAGATGGAAGGTCTGTATATATGTGTACAGAGATGGAAGGTCTGTATACACGTGTACAGAGATGGAAGGTCTGTATACATGTGTACAGAGATGGAAGGTCTGTATACATGTGTACAGAGATGGAAGGCCTGTATACATGTGTACAGAGATGGAAGGCCTGTATACATGTGTACAGAGATGGAAGGCCTGTATACATGTGTACAGAGATGGAAGGTCTGTATACATGTGTACAGAGATGGAAGGTCTGTATACATGTGTACAGAGATGGAAGGCCTGTATACATGTGTACAGAGATGGAAGGCCTATATACATGTGTACAGAGGTGTACAGAGATGGAAGGCCTATATACATGTGTACAGAGATGGAAGGCCTGTATACATGTGTACAGAGATGGAAGGTCTGTATACATGTGTACAGAGATGGAAGGTCTGTATATATGTGTACAGAGATGGAAGGTCTGTATACATGTGTACAGAGATGGAAGGTCTGTATGTATGTGTACAGAGATGGAAGGTCTGTATGTATGTGTACAGAGATGGAAGGCCTGTATATATGTGTACAGAGATGGAGGGTCTGTATACATGTGTACAGAGATGGAAGGTCTGTATACATGTGTACAGAGGTAAAATCTGTGAAATTGTTAAATACTGTTTATCCCCCTCTAATCCCCAACTGCCCATAGTAAAGAGATCTAATTGTTTATTACTTTTAGCCCCCTAGAGGTATGCAAGACACGCTGATGGTACCAAACAGACATACATCTTTCCAAGGTCATGCAGAGGTCAGTAAATTTTTATTGATGAAATTGAAGGTTGTACTAATGATGTAACATGATTATAAATCTTTATGATTATAAATATATTTGTCATGGCATGCTCTACCTAAAACCAACATTAATACATTATGTGATGGAATTTTAGGAGTTGTGATTGATATAAACAACAACTGACTGAATTTTCTACTGCAGGGTACACCAAAGCCTGATTCTTCTTCCCCGCCATGTAGAAGGTGAGTTATACATACATACTAACAGGATGATGTTACTCAAAAGGAAAAATGTCTCTAAAAGGGCCAATTTGCTGACAGGAATTAAATGTGTTTATAAAACCTGTGTTGTATCAGTGGCACTTTTGTCCCACATTTAAGGACCCTCAGATATGGCCACGAAGGTGTGACCTGACAGGTACAGCCATACAGATATAGCAGCACAGATATAACCCAGTAGGTTTGACCCCACAGATATACCCCTACAGTTATCCCCTACAGTTATAGTCCCACAGATATAGTCCCACACATATATCCCCAGTTACGGCCCCACAGATATAGCCCTCCTGTTATGGCCCCACAGATATAACCCTCCGGTTTCAGCCCCACAGATATAGCCCTCCGGTTTCAGCCCCACAGATATAGCCCTCCTGTTAAGGCCCCACACATATATCCCCAGTTATGGCCCCATAGATATAGCCCTCCTGTTACGGCCCCATAGATATAGCCATCCTGTTATGGCCCCACAGTTACAGCCATCCTGTTACGGCCCCACAGAAATAGCCATCCTGTTACGGCCCCACACATATATCCCCAGTGATGGCCCCATAGATATAGCCCTCCTGTTACGTCCCCACAGAAATAGCCATCCTGTTACGGCCCCACAAATATAGCCCTCCAGTTATGGCCCCACAAATATAGCCCTCTAATTATCAACCCACAGATATAGCCCTCCAGTTATGGCCCTACAGATATAACCCTTCAGTTATTGCCCCACAGATATAACCCTCCTGTTTCAGCCCCACAGATATAGCCCTCCTGTTACGGCCCCACACATATATCCCCAGTTATGGCCCCATAGATATAGCCCTCCTGTTACGGCCCCATAGATATAGCCATCCTGTTATGGCCCCACAGTTACAGCCATCCTGTTACGGCCCCACAGAAATAGCCATCCTGTTACGGCCCCACACATATATCCCCAGTGATGGCCCCATAGATATAGCCCTCCTGTTACGTCCCCATAGATATAGCCATCCTGTTATGGCCCCACAGTTACAGCCATCCTGTTACGGCCCCACAGAAATAGCCATCCTGTTATGGCCCCACAGTTACAGCCATCCTGTTACGGCCCCACAGAAATAGCCATCCTGTTACGGCCCCACAAATATAGCCCTCCAGTTATGGCCCCACAAATATAGCCCTCTAATTATCAACCCACAGATATAGCCCTCCAGTTATGGCCCTACAGATATAACCCTTCAGTTATTGCCCCACAGATATAGCCCTCCTGTTATGGCCCCACAGATATAACCCTCCTGTTTCAGCCCCACAAATATAGCCCTCCAGTTATGGCCCCACAAATATAGCCCTCTAATTATCAACCCACAGATATAGCCCTCCAGTTATGGCCCAACAGATATAGCCTTCCAGTTACGGCCCTACAGATATAACCCTCCAGTTATTGCCCTACAGATATAACCCTCTAGTTATTGCCCCACAGATACAGCCCTCCATTTATGGCCCAACAGATATAGCCCTCCACTTATGGCCCAACAGATATAGCCTTCCAGTTACGGCCCTACAGATATAACCCTCCAGTTATTGCCCCACAGATATACCCTCCACTTATGGCCCAACAGATATAGCCCTCCACTTATGGCCCAACAGATATAGCCTTCCAGTTACGGCCCTACAGATATAACAGCCATACAGATATAGCAGCACAGATATAACCCAGTAGGTTTGACCCCACAGATATACCCCTACAGTTATCCCCTACAGATATAACCCTCCAGTTATTGCCCCACAGATATAGCCCTCCACTTATGGCCCAACAGATATAGCCCTCCACTTATGGCCCAACAGATATAGCCTTCCAGTTACGGCCCTACAGATATAACAGCCATACAGATATAGCAGCACAGATATAACCCAGTAGGTTTGACCCCACAGATATACCCCTACAGTTATCCCCTACAGTTATAGTCCCACAGATATAGTCCCACACATATATCCCCAGTTACGGCCCCACAGATATAGCCCTCCTGTTATGGCCCCACAGATATAACCCTCCGGTTTCAGCCCCACAGATATAGCCCTCCGGTTTCAGCCCCACAGATATAGCCCTCCTGTTAAGGCCCCACACATATATCCCCAGTTATGGCCCCATAGATATAGCCCTCCTGTTACGGCCCCATAGATATAGCCATCCTGTTATGGCCCCACAGTTACAGCCATCCTGTTACGGCCCCACAGAAATAGCCATCCTGTTACGGCCCCACACATATATCCCCAGTGATGGCCCCATAGATATAGCCCTCCTGTTACGTCCCCACAGAAATAGCCATCCTGTTACGGCCCCACAAATATAGCCCTCCAGTTATGGCCCCACAAATATAGCCCTCTAATTATCAACCCACAGATATAGCCCTCCAGTTATGGCCCTACAGATATAACCCTTCAGTTATTGCCCCACAGATATAACCCTCCTGTTTCAGCCCCACAGATATAGCCCTCCTGTTACGGCCCCACACATATATCCCCAGTTATGGCCCCATAGATATAGCCCTCCTGTTACGGCCCCATAGATATAGCCATCCTGTTATGGCCCCACAGTTACAGCCATCCTGTTACGGCCCCACAGAAATAGCCATCCTGTTACGGCCCCACACATATATCCCCAGTGATGGCCCCATAGATATAGCCCTCCTGTTACGTCCCCATAGATATAGCCATCCTGTTATGGCCCCACAGTTACAGCCATCCTGTTACGGCCCCACAGAAATAGCCATCCTGTTATGGCCCCACAGTTACAGCCATCCTGTTACGGCCCCACAGAAATAGCCATCCTGTTACGGCCCCACAAATATAGCCCTCCAGTTATGGCCCCACAAATATAGCCCTCTAATTATCAACCCACAGATATAGCCCTCCAGTTATGGCCCTACAGATATAACCCTTCAGTTATTGCCCCACAGATATAGCCCTCCTGTTATGGCCCCACAGATATAACCCTCCTGTTTCAGCCCCACAAATATAGCCCTCCAGTTATGGCCCCACAAATATAGCCCTCTAATTATCAACCCACAGATATAACCCTCCAGTTATTGCCCTACAGATATAACCCTCTAGTTATTGCCCCACAGATACAGCCCTCCATTTATGGCCCAACAGATATAGCCCTCCACTTATGGCCCAACAGATATAGCCTTCCAGTTACGGCCCTACAGATATAACCCTCCAGTTATTGCCCCACAGATATAGCCCTCCACTTATGGCCCAACAGATATAGCCCTCCACTTATGGCCCAACAGATATAGCCTTCCAGTTACGGCCCTACAGATATAACCCTCCAGTTATTGCCCTACAGATATAACCCTCCAGTTATTGCCCCACAGATATAGCCCTCCACTTATGGCCCAACAGATATAGCCTTCCACTTATGGCCCAACAGATATAGCCTTCCAGTTACGGCCCTACAGATATAACCCTCCAGTTATTGCCCTACAGATATAACCCTCCAGTTATTGCCCCACAGATATAGCCCTCCACTTATGGCCCAACAGATATAGCCTGCCACTTATGGCCCAACAGATATAGCCCTCCAGTTATGGCCCCAAAGATATAGCCCTCCAGTTATGGCCCGACAGATATTGCTCTTTAGTTATAGCCCGACAGATATAGCCCTCCAGTTATGGCCCCACAGATATTGCTCTTTAGTTATGGCCCGACAGATATAGCCCTCCAGTTATGGCCCCACAGATATTGCTCTTTAGTTATGGCCCGACAGATATAGCCCTCCAGTTATGGCCCCACAGATATTGCTCTTTAGTTATGGCCCGACAGATATAGCCCTCCAGTTATGGCCCCACAGATATTGCTCTTTAGTTATGGCCCGACAGATATAGCCCAACTGTCATGACTTAAGGTATAGCCCCACAAGTGACACAGGAAGTCTTTATTGGTCAGTGGTGATAATATTTTGAAGGTCCAGCCATTTAGTAATTCCTTGCCACTTCTCAACATATACGATGTTTTCTGTATATGGTATTAATTAAATATAAGATGCATCTGTAGATCTTCTACACATCCATAGGCAGTTCATTAATTATATCTTTTTTGTTTGAACTTAAATCAACATTGGAGTTAAACATAAATATAGACTAAGTATTATATGCATTGATATTTGTACAGTCCTTTATTGACTCCGGAGATGGAGCCTCGGCCCTCTAGTCAGGTGACAATGCCAAGCTCCACCTCTCAACAGCTGGGTACATACACACTGTTCAGCAGTTCACCTTGGTCTGTTCCCTTGTCGACAGCAGACACAAAAAGTAAGTCAAAGTACCAAATCCAGCTTCACTTTGACATTTTGTTTTACAAGGTGTTGAGAATTTTTCCTATTTAAATTTTCCAATATTGATTTCCTCGCTCAAGATGAATCATTTGACTTTGATGGATGTAATAGTTATGTCTGACAAACCAAATGGAGGGGAAAGGAGTACATACAGTTTTTACTTCCTTTCATCCTATAATTATCTTTATACAAGCTAACCAGTAATAAATGTTTATATATTATTGTATTTAAAATGCTGATTTTCCAGAAAATTGGTACAAAGGTATTGTCTGACATGATGACCACAGTTGTGGAGTTCATAGTCGGATTTAACAAAATGGCCATAGAGGGGAGCCTCTGATTGGTTGAAATTTATAATTGTTAGATTTCTATCAAAATTTGTACATAAGTGTTTTCCGACATGGCCAACACAACAATGATGTTCATTTCCTTATTGGACAAAATGACTGGCGTACACAAATGACTTAAGTGATGAAATTCTAATGTTGTACAATATCACATTTTGTATCCTGATATACTGCAGGGGTAATATACCTTTAAAAGAAATACAATTTTAATTAACTCCTATCAATTTTTGATAAACATGTACACCAGTCCTGTAAGCAAAAGGTGCAAACCTGCACACATTGGTGCACAAATGAATAAAGCATTTTATATGTATTTATATACAAATTAATAGGTGTTATTTTTGTACATTTAATCTTATCATGAACTAGGTCTGGCGTCTTCTCCTTTTTCCTCGGAGTCAAACAGCATGAGGAACTCTCCTGATCCAGCGCTGGATATGGAAAGCAAGTCTGCGAGTCATGGTTTTGAGATGGGACTCCGGTTTGGACCCAATGAGGACCATAACAGGAGGGAAAAGATGGGACAACCCATACCACATCCCGAGGTGCCACCCCCACAGGAACAGGGTGGTCCAGGTCCTTTCTTCCCAAGTACCTTCCAGGTTTGTTCATCTGTAATATACTCTATTGGCCAGTAATTTTACACTGATAAAGGGCTTCGACTTGAAATAGAATTGAAATTTAATTTTCTAAGATTAAAATATTAAAATATTAATTAAGTATAACAGTCTTTTGGTGTCCTGTGTTCATGCTTTTTCTTTGGGACTCGCTGAAAATTTCAAAACCTCACTATATTTCTTTGTAATTGGACTCATCAAATGTTTGGAAATGATACTCTGAACTCACCAGAATGAAATCCGGCAAAAATAAATGGCTACATTGCTGATGTTTTTATGTTACATTATGTGATGTTAAATAAAGCTGCTCTGGAGGATATGGGTAAAACTCTGGGAGATATGGGTAAACCTCTGGAAGATATAGGTAAAACTCTGGAGGATATGGGTAAAACTCTGGAGGATATGGGTAAAACTCTGGGTAAAACTCTGGGAGATATAGGTAAACCTCTGGAAGATATAGGTAAAACTCTGGAGGATATGGGTAAAACTCTGGAGGATATGGGTAAAACTCTGGGTAAAACTCTGGAAGATATAGGTAAAACTGGATGATATGGGTAAAACTCTGGAATATATGGTAAAACTCTGGAAGATATGGGCACATTATATTACATTGATAGTCTTGTGGGACGCTCTATTCCAGGAACCTACGAACTTTATATCATATCACTGGATCCTGTTGAATGTATTAATTGAGTGGTATGGCTATCTTTCCACAGTCTATATGGTCTTCAGGAAACTCAGCTGGCCAGTCACCACTGGAGCGTCTTCTGGAGAAACAAAAGCGCAGACAAAATGACCCGCATTGAAGGGAGACTGCAGCCAGGGATAGACATCTCGGAATTTCTCCTAGGCCAGTACACAACATGTGTCTAATGGCTATATTTACACCTGATGACACTAGATGTCAATAGCAGTAATGTACACACAATGTGGCAACAACAGATAGGATGACACAGTAGGATGACACAATGTGTCAACAGCAGATAGGATGACAGAATGTGTCAACAGCAGATCGCAGAAACCACATTTTCATTGTGTCAGTTGAGAATATGATGTTTCGACTGAAGAGACAATGACCTGCCAGCAATAGACATAGGGATGTAAACAAAGATGTCGTTGCCTAGGTAACCTATGAGGGAGTGTCATAATTAGTTGTCACTTGGCTAAAGTATGAAGGTGTCCCAGTAAGTCATCACTGAGGTAACATATGAGGGAGTGTCCCAGTTACTGTTGCACAAGATCCTGTTGTATCTATATGTGTCACTGCATGCAAAAAAAGCATTGAAAACATGACTGCAGTACTTCGGCAGAGACTGGCATCATGACCATGTCATCAGGACAGTACAGTGATAGCCACAATTTACAGAGCAATGTAAAAAAACTCTGTATGAGATCTGTTGAGCAGACAGTTGAGTGATATCTGCGATTTACAGGTCAAAACACTGTATATAACATGGGCGAAATGTGATAAACAGTTTTTAGCTTGCACTCATGCTATTTTTGCACAAATTGTGAATTGTACATAAATTATAGGACAAATTATGTCCCCATTTATTCAAGGTTAATCCTTATTCTTTGTTTGTACATCATAGACATTCTGCTTCCAAAAGGCATGCCATCACTTGGGTTACTACAATGATGCATCGCATATCATGGTGTCACATGTTGTGTGACTGATCGTCAGATTAAGTCAGTGATATTTGTAGGTTGGAAGCTGTGGATATTTCCATCTGAAGTTTTGTGCTATAGATGTCTCCAAGATGTAAACACCATCAGTAAGTTAGACCACTTGTGAATTGCATATATATATATGGTACATCATCCTATCATGTGACTAAAGGTGACTAGATAATGTAATTGTTAGTCATATCAGGTGACTTTTGTCATACAAGCATGTTAACAGATAATGGTAGCTTTTGTTTTATCCTGTTACTTTTCTCATATTACGTGACTGTTGTCACAATCTGAGATTGTCATGTGTCGTATTGACAGGTAATTGATTTGCTAAACATTTGTTTGTTTACTATTCTGAACAGACAGATGTTTACATATGTCAACAGATGAATGTTTACCTGTCTGAAGGACTACATTGTGAACAGACAGATGTTAACATGTCAACACATGAATGTTTACCTGTCTAAACAACCACATTGTGAACAGACAGATGTTTACATGTCAACAGATGAATGTTTACCTGTCTGAAGGACTACATTGTGAACAGACAGATGTTTACATGTCAACAGATGAATGTTTACCTGTCTGAAGGACTACATTGTGAACAGACAGATGTTTACATGTCAACAGATGAATGTTTACCTGTCTGAAGGACTACATTGTGAACAGATGTTTACATGTCAACAGATGAATGTTTACCTGTCTGAAGGACTACATTGTGAACAGACAGATGTTTACATGTCAACAGATGAATGTTTACCTGTCTGAAGGACTACATTGTGAACAGACAGATGTTTACATGTCAACAGATGTTGAACAGACAGATGTTTACATGTCAACAGATGAATGTTTACCTGTCTGAAGGACTACATTGTGAACAGACAGATGTTTACATGTCAACAGATGAATGTTTACCTGTCTGAAGGACTACATTGTGAACAGACAGATGTTAGCATAAGTCAACAGATGAATGTTTACCTGTCTTAACAACCACATTGTGAACAGACAGATGTTAACATATGTCAACAGATGAATGTTTACCTGACTTAACAACCACATTGTGAACAGACAGATGTTAAGATATGTCAACAGATGAATGTTTACCTGTCTAAACAACCACATTGTGAACAGACAGATGTTTACATATGTCAACAGATGAATGTTCACCTGTCTTAACAACCACATTGTGAATAGACAGATGTAAACATATGTCAACAGATGAATGTTTACCTGTCTTAACCACATTGTGAACAGACAGATGTTTACATATGTCAACAGATGAATGTTCACCTGTCTTAACAATTGCATTGTGAACATTCATCTGTTGACATATGTAAACAGTCAGATATATATCTTTATGAACACCAGGTTCCATCTTGTCAGTGTGTGAACACACAAATGTAATGAGACATATGACTGCGTGAACCAACAAATATTTGTCAACAGGTGAATATTTACCTGTGTTTACCTGTGTAGAGAGGTAGTGGTAAAAAGATGGTAGTTAATCTGTGTAAAAATAGAGATGTTGATTTTTTGTTATGTGTAGACAGGAGGATGATTGTGTTAACAGAAGACAGGCGGGTGTTTGTGTTAACAGACTTATGTTACCTGTGTTTGTGTGTTTACATGTGTGCACAGTAGAATGTTCACCTTTGTGAATGAGAGAATGTCTCCTGTTTAAAAAAGATATGAACCCATATAAACAGAAAGATGTTTACCATTGTAAACAGAATGATAGATATCTGTGTGAGCTGATGTCTTAACTGACCACATGTGTTACAATGTTATCAACATCAGATGTAAACATTTGTGTTTGACATTGTGTGACTGTTGTAAATATCACACTTAACACTGTTACAATGACATCAACATCAGATCAACATTAGAAGTAAACATTTGTGTTTGACATTGTGTGACTGTTGTCAATGTCACACTTAACACTGTTACAATGACATCAACATCAGATCAACATCAGATGTAAACATTTGTGTTTGACATTGTGTGACTGTTGTCAATGTCACACTTAACACTGTTACAATGACATCAACATCAGATCAACATCAGATGTAAACATTTGTGTTTGACATTGTGTGACTGTTGTAAATGTCACACTTAACACTGTTACAATGACATCAACATCAGATCAACATCAGATGTAAACATTTGTGTTTGACATTGTGTGACTGTTGTCAATGTCACACTTAACACTGTTACAATGACATCAACATCAGATCAACATCAGATGTAAACATTTGTGTTTGACATTGTGTGACTGTTGTAAATGTCACACTTAACACATGTTACAATGACATCAACATCAGATCAACATCAGATGTAAACATTTGTGTCTGACATTGTAGAATTATGTGGGGATTGACATGAATAATTAGTGATATATCGACAGAGAGATAATTGTCTTCAGACATTTGATGATGTATTATAAGGTACATGTATTTGAATGACTTATATCACCAGCATCAGAATCGGTCTCCTTATTTAAGACACTTCATTAAAGAAGTAATCATATATCAGTTTGTTGGCTTAATTTTGTATTCACCACTACATTGCTGTGTACCAAGAAGTCTGTGAACATCATAACACAGAACTGCCGAGCAGCATTATCTAGTGTTGCAGTCGTGAGTATAGACCACATCAGAACTGACTGTTGTACAGCATTACATCAAGTTTGAAATTAGTCATTATCATGTTGACAACACGAAAATTTACTGTTATGTAGTACATTTATTTTACCCAATTCAAACATTCTTATTGAATTTCCGACTTACGAATTTTGCTATCCTACGGAAGCTATTCCGGTCACGTTGTGTTTTGAGTTAGTAATCCGAAATTTTGATATATTAACCCGAAATTCCGAGTTAGTCATCCGAAATTTTGAGTTGGTAATCCGAAATTTTGAGATATAACCCGAAATTTCGAGTTAGTCATCCGAAATTTTGAGTTGGTAATCCGAAATTTTGAGATATAACCCGAAATTCCGAGTTAGTCATCCGAAATTTTGAGTTGGTAATCCGAAATTTCGAGATAGCAACTCGAAATTTTGAGTTAGTTAGTCGAAATTTCGAGTTATCTCGAAATTTCGGGTTCGATTTACAAACTCAAAGTTTCGGATTACTAATTCTAAATTTCGAGTTGCTATCTTGAAATTTCGAGATAAAATAAAACACAACGTGGCCGGAATACGCTTCTGTACTATCCTCTGTACTTACGTAGATTCCTTTAATCCTGAATCCAGGCCAGAATTTCACAATCGTCAACACCTACCTTGATACCTTTAATCCTAAATCCAGGCGGAATTTCACAATCATCAATACCTACCTTGATTCCTTTAATCCTAAATCCAGGCCAGAATTTCACAATCATCAATACCTACCTTGATTCCTTTAATCCTAAATCCGGGCCAGAATTTCACAGTCATCAATACCTACCTTGATTCCAATCCTAAATCAATTTCACAGTCATCAATACCTACATTGATTCCTTTAATCCTAAATCCGGGCCAGAATTTCACAATCATCAATACCTACCTTGATTCCTTGATTCCTTGATTCCTAAATCCGAGCCAGAATTTCACCATCATCAATACCCACTTTGATTCCTTGATTCCTAAATCCGGGCCAGAATTTCACAATCATCAGGACCTACCTTGATTCCTTGATTCCTAAATCCGGGCCAGAATTTCACAATCATCAATACCTACCTTGATTCCTTTAATCCTAAATCCGGGCCAGAATTTCACAATCATCAATACCTACCTTGATTCCTTTAATCCTAAATCCAGGCGGAATTTCACCATCATCAATACCTACCTTGATTCCTTTAATCCTAAATCCAGGCCAGAATTTCACAATCATCAATACCTACCTTGATTTATTTAATCCTAAATCCGGGCCAGAATTTCACAGTCATCAATACCTACCTTGATTCCATTAATCCTAAATCCGGGCCAGAATTTCACAATCTTCAATACCTACCTTGATTCCTTTAATCCTAAATCCGGGCCAGAATTTCACAGTCATCAATACCTATCTCGACTCCTTAATCCTAAATCCGGGCCAGAATTTCACAGTCATCAATACCTACCTTGATTCCTTTAATCCTAAATCCGGGCCAGAATTTCACAATCATCAATACCTACCTTGATTCCTTTAATCCTAAATCCAGGCGGAATTTCACCATCATCAATACCTACCTTGATTCCTTTAATCCTAAATCCAGGCGGAATTTCACCATCATCAATACCCACCTTGATTCCTTTAATCCTAAATCCCGGCCAGAATTTCACAATCAATACCTACCTTGATTCCTTTAATCCTAAATCAAGGCGGAATTTCACCATCATCAATACCCACCTTGATTCCTTTAATCCTAAATCCGGGCCAGAATTTCACAATCATCAATACCTACCTTGATTCCTTTAATCGTAAATCCAGGCGGAATTTCACCATCATCAATACCCACCTTGATTCCTTTAATCCTAAATCCCGGCCAGAATTTCACAATCATCGATACCTACCTTGATTCCTTTAATCCTAAATCCAGGCGGAATTTCACCATCATCAATACCCACCTTGATTCCTTTAATCCTAAATCCGGGCCAGAATTTCACAATCATCAATACCTACCTTGATTCCTTTAATCCTAAATCCAGGCGGAATTTCACCATCATCAATACACACCTTGATTCCTTTAATCCTAAATCCGGGCCAGAATTTCACAATCATCAATACCTACCTTGATTCCTTTAATCCTAAATCAAGGCGGAATTTCACCATTATCAATACCCACCTTGATTCCTTTAATCCTAAATCCGGGCCAGAATTTCACAATCAATACCTATCTCGACTCCTTAATCCTAAATCCGGGCGGAATTTCACCATCATCAATACCCACCTTGATTCCTTTAATCCTAAATCCGGGCGGAATTTCACAATCAATACCTACCTTGATTCCTTTAATCCTAAATCCGGGCCAGAATTTCACAGTCATCAATACCTACCTTGATTCCATTAATCCTAAATCCGGGCCAGAATTTCACAATCATCAATACCTACCTTGATTCCTTTAATCCTAAATCCAGGCGGAATTTCACCATCATCAATACCTACCTTGATTCCTTTAATCCTAAATCCGGGCCAGAGTTTCACAATTATCAGGACCTACCTTTATTCCTTTAATCCTAAATCCGAGGCGGATTTTGTCTTTCATGCCTACATATGATTGATTCTATCAATTCTATATTATGGTTGTCAGTAACATGTTTGTTTCTGTGAACACGGAGTCATGTTTGTAGTTGTAGGACAGTTACCAAGATAGAACTGTTACACAGAGTCACGTTTGTAGTTGTAAAACTGTTACTAAGATGGAACTGTTACACGGAGTCACGTTTGTAGTGGTAGGACAGTTACCAAGATAGAACTGTTACACGGAGTCACGATTGTAGTTGTAGGACAGTTACCTAGATAGAACTGTTACACGCGGTCACGTTTGTAGTGGTAGGACAGTTACCAAGATAGAACTGTTACACGGAGTCACGATTGTAGTTGTAGGACAGTTACCTAGATAGAACTGTTACACGGAGTCACGTTTGTAGTTGTAGGACAGTTACCTAGATAGAACTGTTACACGCGGTCACGTTTGTAGTTGTAGGACAGTTACCTAGATAGAACTGTTACACGCGGTCACGTTTGTAGTTGTAGGACAGTTACCAAGATAGAACTGTTACACGGAGTCACGTTTGTAGTTGTAGGACAGTTACCAAGATAAAACTGTTACACAGAGTCAC